GCTCATTTTGGGCCATATCCAATATTTGTGTTGGTAGCTCGAGATTATGAGTTGGATCCTCTCGGTAAAGATGCTGCTTACACTCCCGAAGATAGGACGTTACTGCAAAAATGGGCTCCGCAGTCTGGATTGATCTTTGTGTAAGTCTGTTTGAGGTTTTAAAACAGGCACATAGTATCTTTGCACACCTCACAATACGCTTTGACTAGATAGCGAAATTGACATGTACTCGAAGGATGCCTTGGAGCCTAACACGACTGTTGATCAAATTGTAAACTGGCGGGCTGGCAATGATGGGGGTGTAAAAGGTCGAGATTTAGGATATCAAAGCATGTGTCGATTGTGGTCCGGTCGATTGCAGCACATGTCCTTTTTAGACGACTTTGACTATTACCTTCGAATGGATGACGATAGCCTGTTCCTTTCCAACTTTCAATGGGATCCTTTTGTGCGAATGAAAGCCGAGGGATTGACCTATGCGTATCGACGGACAGCCTACGATTCATGGGGGATTGATGAATTGTGGAGTGTATCACGTCCTCACCTCGACCTAGAACGTCACCATTTACCCTTTGCGTTTCGTCGTGCTGGTGACAAATCTTACTCTTACTTTGGAGAGCAGCCATACAACAACTTCCACATTTCCGATCTAAAGTTTTGGAGATCCCCTCAATGGAGTGGCATGATGAGAGAAATGGATGAGCATCATCTATTTTTCAAGTATAGAGTAGGTGATGCCAATGTGCATGCCATTTCGATCATGATGATGGAAGAAAGCAGTGTCGCGGTATGGCCTGAAACACCGTATGCCCACAATAGCAACGACTATCACAACGATTGGGGACAACAGAACTGGCAAGATGAATGTGATGCTGCCATTCGAGATGACAAACAACAAGACTAATGTATCGGTAAATCATGCGTTGAAAAAACGGCTATGGGCATGAATTCTTAGACACCACCTCTTGTGATGGAAAGAATACACATGTAAAAAAAGGACAAAAATGCGATCCATGGTATCCGTTGGTGCGGCTTCATGACACCATAGGTTACACAATGCCCAGGGAACCAAATTAACCAACTATTTCGCCAGTCCAACAAGCAATTGGCCTTGTATCCCAGAAGTGCAGCCTTGACCGTTGCCAATCCAAATCCCCCTTGTGCCATGACCTCCTTGAAAATGTAAAATGTAGGCATAAAGAGAATAGGATCACTCAGCAAGTTCATTCCACAAATCTTTGAGATCACTGCCTTGGGCTTGTTTCCTGGAAAGAGCTTTTCCCAGCCCAAGTTGACAATTGCATATTGGGCCATACCTTGGTATAAGAATCCAAAGGCAGCAAAAACAGCAGATCGTTTTGGATTCCAAGGATTTGCTTCGAATACGCATTGGGTCAACAAATCAGCACTGAAAGCGTTGAGGGTGGTAATTCCACATGCCGACATAAATGGATGCCTTTGCAAGAAGGATTGTTTCTCAGTTTGTTCTCCACCCCGAATAGCGATAGCAGCAGCTGCTTCAGGTGCGACGCAGAGTCCATCCTTGCTTGCGGTGGTAATGTCCAAGGCTGGCAATCCTGCGACTTCCGAAGTCACTTTTCGTTGGAGAAAGGGCAGGCGAAAGCTTCTCTTCCCGGGAGGCGATTGATCGCCATCAGAACGGAGTGTCGCTGCAAAGATGACTGCAGCTTTAACGATTGCTGTATTTACCATCATGTTGAAGAGCAAACTGCACTGTAGGTCAGAATTGTGAAATAAAAGTGCCAATAAAATCCAAAAAATTTGAGAAAAGATTTTTGCGCACACTGCGCAAAGAATAGCGACCTCTTGGGGACGAATGAATAGCATGCATGATGAAAGAGTACTGTACCAGTACGCAATGTCTGACTTCCACTACATTCAGCCATCAACCACAACTAGAATCTACAACAATCAGCGCACGTACAGTGACCTAATGGGCGGGTGGGAATGACAAAATGACAGAGTTGATAACAGAAAGTGTGACTCCCATTTTTATTAACCATTTTTCCATCGCTTACACATAACTAGAATCGACAAGAATGAGCGTGCAGTGTAGCCTAGATAATTTCCCCTTCCGCAGCCTCTGGTCCATCCGAGTAAGAAGTGAGGCCAGCGGATTTTCCATAGTCTGAAAATCGCACATTTTGTTCCACCATTGGCTCCTGATTGAGAGCCTCCGATTCCTCGTCCACTTGAGGTTCCGCCGGAGCACTTGCCGAAGGTCGACCACCAACGCGCTTGCCCCCCACCCGACGACCGGATTTCTTGCCAGACGATTCTTTGGCTTGTTTTTTGGCTTCCGACCTTAGTTTCAAGTTTGTTCTCAAAAGACCAGGTGCCTTGCGTGCTTCTGCCAACTGCTTTTTGGTTTTTCTTCGTCTTCTGATTTTTGGCATTTTGATGCCACATCGATTGACAAGAAAGGCGCAAATCCCAATGGCAAACACACAAATCACTACCAACAAGAAAAGGTTCTTTGCACTTGCCAGATCAAATACGACTTCCTTCCCCTTTTCAAGCAAACCGGGCGGAGCTTTCTCGCTGCAGTGCTTTCCATGCCAATTGTCTGGACAATCGCAACCTGGGTGCCTGTAGCAGGAGAAACAAGGGACAAGCAAGTTAGAATTCATTTTCCATCGCAATGGTCAGACATTTCGTATCCAATATTCAACGTACTTGGTTCCATTTGTATCATCGGGCAAACATTTGCCACCATTAACGCAAAATTGCGAGGAAGAAAACGTATCATCATTCTTGTTGTGTCCACAGAAGACGGTCGAGATGTGTGCACAATACTTTTCCACATATTCATTCTCAAAAACTGTATCATCATCGCATTCACAGTGATAGAAGGAGTGGCCCTCTCCATTCTTGTCGAGCTTGCACTCCATTCCATTGTCGCAGTTGTGTTGGAAATTGTTTTCTGTTGTTCGGCAACCTTTCAGACTGATCTCACATTGCAATCCGGTGGAACCAGAGGGACACGAACAGTACATTCCCTCCACGTGATCCTTTGATTCCCATGGATTCTCGGCATCCACATTTCCATAGGATCCGAATTTTCCCTTTCCATGACGGCATTCTCCGCCATTGAAACAGAAAAGATTGCAGTCCCAGTTGTATGCAAGATTAACTGCTGGCAGCAGCAAGAGTAGAAGATGTTTCATTGTATCGTGTGTTATTGTTTATATGGTCTTGCGATTTTACGATCACGAATGCTTTATTCTTGCCGCGGTCATCTTGCGGACATGAGGACATTTCTTAGTTTTTGCTTCGTTTCCAGACACGGATAGAATGAATCGTGACTGATGAACCGCTCACAAATTGAAATTGCAGCTCTTTACGTACAGTATGATCGTACAATAGCACTTGTGTTGTTTGGATTGTAGGCATGGTAGAAATCGCGCCGCAGTTCGTTTCCCTAATCCTAATCCTGGTACTCTTTGGTTGACAGGCTACTGTAGATTTTGGAAATCATTTGTTTCAGTTGCAATGTTCCTTGTTCAGATGGATGCTATCATGAAACTTTGTATTTCCTCCTCACTGCCATTGGTCTATGCATCTTGACAAAGTATTGACTGGTCGACTTACTACCAGTGTCCTCGTTTTCCTTCTTATCTTTGAATTCCTCGTCGGTCAACATTCGCTCGCCCCAACTTTCTTCGGCTGGAATTAGTCGACCTTTAGCTCTCCATCTAGCTAGGACAAAAGCCAAAGTAAGATCTTCGAGACCCCGGCTTCGGTTTTCTCCACCAGCATCATTCGTGCTCCAAAACAGTTGCTCCTCGTACCATTCGCAACGAAGCCGCCGACTTCGATCCGATTGCACATTGTGAACGACCAGAAAGGTATCAGGAAGCTTGAGTCCAAAGTCTCTCATGACATAATCGTAAAATGACAATTGCTGCATTGGCCAAGATCGTTCCCAGCCTATCCCTTTTTGATCTAGAATATCTTTTGCCATGGCTCCTGCAGTGCCTTGTCCTTGGTTAGCAAACCAGTGCGAGAACAGAGCAACGTGCTTTGCTGGAATGCCAGGAATGTGGACGGTACTCTCCACGGATGTACCACTCCGTCGCACAATCTTGTCACGTCCAGGAATCTTGCGCTGGTCCAATTGTTTTGACATGAGGAACCACAACACTGGGAGGGATGGTAACGCTTCGATATGATTCGGCTCCAAGTAGAGTGCTTTGGTAACATTGTGGGACATGAACGAACCAGGAGCAATCTTTGGCATTATATAATCGCCTTCCACCAAGTGATCATTTGACTGTTGACTCGGCCATAGAAGCTTCCATCGTTTATGTGACAGTTGTCCATTCCATTCCTCAAGCGAAGGCTTCTCTTCACCCTGTTGGACTCCTTGTTCACCACTCATCAAGTGTCGAACTAATTTACTGTGGCTTGAAACAAATGCCACTTGGCATACCGTATCGCTTGGCCACATGACATTCTGATCCGTTGTATTTCTCAATAGCGGGAGATCTTGTAAACCCTCCGAAAAGTCGGTCATATAGACCACATATCGACAGTCGTATGTAATGTTCTTTGCTAGAATATTGAGAGACTCGTCAATGTTCGACGAAAGGCATTGCGTATGTGTCGTAGCACATTCCGAGGCGCAGGGGAATAGATTGAAAGTACGACGTTCCAATTGGGAAACTCCAATGAGACTATTGTTTGTCTGTGCTCCTGCTTGTGGAAGCAACTTGTTGGTGTGTTGTAATGCTTGTTGAGTTTGTGAATTGGTCATATTCGATGTGGTGAATGGATGCGCATCTTTGTGATACCAAGAGAGCATTTGAAGATATGCTTCTATTCGTCTTGCGTTCCTGGTGGTAGATTTTCCTTTCGACAAGGAGTAAAGAGTCGACACAACGGCATCAAGGCTTTGTGTGTGTGATCGCGCCGCTTGAAACGAAGGAATCGATATTCTACTTTCATCAGTGGGGGCATGCTTTGTTCTTGTCATGCAGCTCACTGTTAGAAAGACAGCTTCGGTGATATGGATCAGAGTCGAGGGGGTCGATGGTTTTGTCGCGTTGACGTTCAGAGCAGCATCAAGTATTGTTCTGGATTGTTCCATTGGGCCAAAGATTGTTGGTAGATGAAGCTGCGCTACTCGAGTATTGTATTTTGCCGTATATGTTTTCATTAACATTGGAATAATGTGCTGTATTGCATAGGATATATGCTGGTGGTTCTCTTCATCAACCGTTGACGACGATGATGAAGTCAAATAGATCAGTTCAGGGGCAGGCATACCAAGCGTAGATTGTTTCGTCATTGCTTCGCACAGTCTTTCTATTTTGTTGAGACTATTTCGAATCGATGTCATTGTTGGGTTCACTTGGATTTCTGGTGACAGAAATGAGAGAGCTTCCAGATGAACCACATGAGTTGGAACAAGAGCTGAAAATAGACTGGATATTGTGTCGCTGTTTGGACCGGAATTTGTCGCTTCACTCAAGTGGATTTCAACATCTGGGAGCCGTTTCAACAGAAAAGATAGTCGGTTGTAGCTGTCTGTGTCCATGGCATGTTCCGAAATTGCATGGATCTTTTTGACCCCACACTCGTTCGACAAAAAAAGAGCAAGCTCTGTCCCAAAGGGGTGCGTCAAAACACCGGAAATAAGGACTCGAGATTGTTCTCCATGAAGTTTTCCACACAGGCTCTTTATCTTATGCAAATCGTCAGGAATCTGTACTTGCAAGCTTGCAAACGTGCTCGGTATCGTTGGTTGGCTCTCTTCTGCTGCCGTTATTGGTAGAACATCAAATTGCATTCCTATCCGTGGACGCACTCTTTTATCGCGATTTCTGTTGCTCTTCTTGGCAGCTAGAATCTCGAGACCATAGAATTGATCTTCTATCGAAGTCAAGTTTCTCGTGAATGTCGCTGATTGCCATAATACCCGAAATGCCGAGCTGAAACTGATCAACAGAATCCATGCAAAGAATGATGCTCCCCGTCCTTTCCGACTCCGCAAGAACTTGACAGGGCTAGAATTCGTAATGAGATCTTGTATCGGGCTACTTTTCACTTTCTCTTTATTTCTGCGTCGCCTGGTGGGAGTGCCGAATTCCATCACCATGGTGAAGGCTGATGAGGTTTAGTTGTTGTCAACTTTGGTTTGTGGTGGGATAAAGTATTTGAAATCGGGTCTGTGCGCGCAAGCCCGTCCTAAATTGACCCACCCGACTACTCATACGCTTTCTTTCATGGAAGCAAAATATTTGGCCAAGATTTTAGTGACTGCTTCCATTCATTCCAGGAAATATCCTCTCTGTTATATAAACAACATCATTCACGACGGCAAAAAGAACAACAAACATGGGTGTCGAAAAGCAGACGATTAAGGAGGGAGATGGAACCAATTTTCCAAAAAAGGGCGATGAACTAACGATGGTCAGTTTTTTATGGGTGTGAAAAACTTCTTCGTTGAGAATTTGGTTGATGTACTCTTCTATACTGTAGTTCCAGTGCCAGCAACGGACAGAGTAACACGTACATATTGATTCGGCCGAGAATTGGCCTTGAAAGAGTTAGAACACGCATTTTCTAATTATTCTTTGGTTGCAGCACTATACAGGAACTCTTGCATCCAATGGAGACAAATTCGATTCAAGTGTCGACAAAGGAAGGCCTTTCAAGTTCAAGATTGGTATGGGGCAGGTCATCAAAGGCTGGGTAAGTTGTGATCGGTTTGGCCACCAAGAAAAGTTTTTGTTGAATTGCTATCTGATCAATCGTTTTTCTTTTTCTATTCTTGATCTACCGGTACAGGACGAAGGAGTCATTAAAATGAGTCTTGGTGAAAAGGCCAAGTTGCTGATTTCCAGTGACTATGGCTACGGAAGTCAGGGTGCCGGAGGTGTGATTCCACCCAATGCTGACCTTGTCTTTGAAGTCGAGCTGTTGGCAATTGGAAATCTCGAAGCTGCAAGCGGTGGAGGCTGCTGCGTCATTTCCTAGGGGTCGTAGTTTTGCAAAACGTTCTATTGAAAAATCGAGGGTCGGGTGCATGAAGAATATCAAGCATAGCATTTTCAGTGAAAAACGCAATATTAGTCACTTAATGATACAACACCGACTTCCGATGAAGGAACGATGCGGACAAAATATTTCACAGAAGTCGCTGATAAGACTCCCATCCATGTATCGTAGGAGCTGTAGTCCCGTTCGGTTAGGACTTTCTCACTGTCAGATTCTTCATCAAAATTGTGATCTGAATCTTCGGAAGTTTCGCCTCGTTTGACATCTTCATGATTGACTTCTTCTTGTTCCACAGCTTCAGCTTGCATTCCCTTCTTGTCTTCTAGATCGATCACAGGATCCTCTTTCTCATCTTCGTCATCCTCTTCCTTTACTGAATGTCCGTCTCCCTGCGGTACCTCTTGCAACCGCCTTCGTCTTGTCGACGAATTATGGCCTTCTGGAACAGTACTGACATTTTCTCCTATCCACCATGGTTCGTCGTCCGATTCTTTGGCAATCACTCGACTCCACATGTCATGCAATCCAAGAATGAATTCGAGAGCAGAACGATCCGTGTGGCCTCCCCATTGTACAACTTCGCCAAATACATCACACCGGAATAGACGACTATCATCCGACTGCAATGCATGCACCATCCATCTAGAGTCCATCAAGTCGCTAAATCCACTATCAAATAGCATGCCAGCAACTGCAATGCGAACCATTCGGTAGGCAGCATTCTGCACAACAGTCTCTATCGGTGCGACAGTTTGCCGTTGCGGATTATCGAAATCGTAGTCTTGCGCAAAGAAATCTACAGGACTGCCTTTTCCAATCAACATGGCCGTGCGGCCTTGCACGTCTGAATTGTACGGTTGCATGGAAGCCTCCTCCAACAATCTGTTGATATTGTCCAGGAGAATATCAGGGTCTACATAAATGGCCCGCTTCGGTTTGGAGAAGAAGAGCCCAGGTGAAAGTTTTGGAAGCAGCGATAGCATGTTCTGACTCGGGTAACCAGGTGCCTCTTCCAATGATGGAATCTTGACAGGCGCTAGAATCCATTCTCCATTTTTCTGGACCGTCCGACTGCCGCCAAGGAATGATGATACCGTGGACTGTGTGCTCATGGACTTGTACAAGACACTGCTGGCGGACACAAAGGCAACATTACAGTCTCCAGGCATAAAAGAGTCTGACTTGCTGCGGATCTTTAGATGCGCCGATGGAAGAGACTCCAATGAGCTGCTAAGATCGACAGTGTATAGGACAACCTCACACTTCTTGGTCAATGCCTGAGTCCATCCAATGATTTCGTCATAAAAAGAGTCCACACATTGGACTTCGTGCGAACACTCCGATGCACATGGAAACACAGGGGTCCCTTTCAGACATTCCTTGTCACTCGGTAGGCAGCTCACAATTCCGTGACCTGCCACAAAACTAGCCCTTTCGTCGGGAATCTTTTGACGACCCCCTCCGTATGGAAAGGCACGGTCGTAATGCCATGCCAGCAACTTCACCACACCTTCCTCCAGTGGCACACGCGGTATGTATCCCAAGAACTTTTCAGCTCGTTCGGTGGATCCAAACGATGTAGTTGGTTCCGGATCCTCTTGGACCGGCATTTCGTGTGTCTCCAATGGCTTTTTGGGAGGAAAGTGGTTTTCCATGATAGTCGCAATTTGTTGGAGTGACGTACCCTGCCCACTGGCCACATTGAAAACGACGGGAGGTGGTTTCTCGCTGCTGCTGGGTCTGAATTGCATGGCTGACATCATGGCATCAATTGCATCGTCAATGTATACAAAATCATTGATATCATTCCACTTTTCACCCCAAAGAATAGAATCACCAGTGACAGCTCGTTCGGCCATTTCGAACAAGGGTGATCCAGGTGCACTCCATGGTCCATAGACGGAAAAGAATCGGAGGCCAACACTATAAATTCCGTGCATATCATTGTACATCTTTGCTAAAGTCTCGTCAATGAGCTTGGCTGCCCCGCGCAATGATGACGGGGTACTGATTGTGTGTGTTTCCGTAAATGGTGGGTTTGCGTTTTTCGATGTGGACGGATAAACTTCCGAGGAACTGGCGTACAGAAAATGAGGCACTCGTTGTCCACTACGTTGGATTTTTACGAATTGTTCCATAAGAGCCTCCATCATTCCTGCTTTGGGGACGTCCTTTTCCCGAGCAATCACTTGTAGTGCTGCATGCGGGAAGGGATCGGCAAGGTGGACAACGTGCGTGATATCGGGATGTTGTCGAAAAATGTGATCCAGGACTGGAACCTCTCCCAAATCAAAATATTCAGGAATCATTGGTCGAAAGTCAACTCTATAGAAACTGCCATTGGATCCAAGCGTTTGCAATACCGAAAAGGTCCGTTGTCGTTGAAATTCAAATTGCGCCAATTCCTCTTGCGTCATGGGATTCTCCGTCATGCGATCCACGCAAATGATTTGTTTTGGTTTATAGGTTCGGTGAAGCGCCAACGCGAGTTCGCTTCCCAAGAATCCAGCAGCACCTGTAATCAGCACCACACTTTCTTCCGTCAGAAAGTCAATAGGCAATTCTTCACTCGTTGTGTGGTGTATCAGAAAGAACAAGGCAATTATTATTGTGTGCAGAGTTGGAAGCGGCGACACCAATGAACATCGTCGTGACGAGTGTAACCTCGCATAGATCATGCTGCAAGTTCTAAGATCGATTCAAACTCTCTCCTCTGTCTCTTGTGGGATTTTAGGGTATATGTGACACCCTTTTACGTTCTAGTTTCTAGTAAAAAAGGGAGTGTGTGCCACACAAACAGACACCAACCAATTGCGAAATGATTGCATCCGTTAGAAGAGTTGACGAAGATAAACGACACTAAGCCAGTACCCTATACATAGCTGGCCTGCGTGCGATACAAATTCAAAATTGCGAAAATGACACGCGCGACCGTGCTCCAAAAGTTGAGAAAGGGTACAGTACTGTAGTATTAATAATAGTAATACACCATGTGTGTAATCTATATGAGGTCAGAAGAATAAGTTTCAATTTATCTTTCTTTTTGTAGCAGTCCCTAGGGTTTCTCCGGTTTTGTGTTCCGATAAATCATGCGCTTCCCCTTTGAAAACGAGGTAGTATCCCATTTGCAGGAACATTGTGAACCATGCGGCGTGTAGCAGGATCAGTAGTCCGATCAAGAACACAAAGATCGGTTGGTAAAAGACGTATAATATGGGATCCACCACACCATTCGCACAAACCATCCATGATTCAATCATGACGCTTTTGAAGATGACAAAGGGCAGTATGCTTAACCGCGTGATGCACCACAGGACCACCATTGCTGTAAAACAGACCGCTGTGGACGCTTTCCATTTCAAAAAGTTTGCCAATTTCGACAAATCCACCGGTATATCGGAAATATCATGGACGAGGAAGACCATGCTACCCGCTCGTGTGACCCGAAAGCTAGAAGAGCCCAAAATGAGCATGTTTGTGATCACATGATGGACAAACATTTCTCGAAAATCCCCTCGAACATTCGGACTCCATTCGATATGGAAACCAGGAAATTTTCCCTTCGTAGCTGTCTTGATGACAAAGCTAATCTCTAATAAGGAAATCATTGCTTCCACATTGTACGCCGATTGCGCCAAGTAATACCACGCCATGCCTGCATCAATGGGTTGATTAGGGTAACCAATCCATAACGATTTCGTCCCATCAGCCTTCCACCATTCCTTATCCCAAAAGTATACAATTCCAGCAATCGAAACGGCAGTGTGAAAAATCAACCGAAAGACGTATTCTCCAAATTTAACAATTCTGGTTTGGTTGTTCGTTTGTTCCAGCCATTGTCTTCCGTGAGTGTGCAGTGCTGCTTGCCGCCCCAAGTCTGAAAACCGTGGCAGCAGGATTGCTTTGATTCTTCTCAATACAATGACAAGCATAAATAAGGCACATATCGCGGTGGGTGTGGTAAGCTCTGCAAGGCTGGTGGACGACGTTTTAAATGCGTAGTTGTACAGTGATTTCAAGCCTATTGACGACCGTATTTGGCCTTGGCCATTGTCATTGTACTCCTGTTGTAGATATTGCTGATACGTTAACAGGGGCGGCTTCAATTCCGACATACTTCGAACGATCTTAAATTCCCCCGACAGCCAAGCCCCTTCCTGTGACCATCGATGCGGCAGTCGGTCTCGCCAATCGGTACACCCCAATGGTTCACATGCTGAGTCCACAGCAGTATAAGCCCAAACGACAGGAGTTGGAGGGTAAGTGCTGAAATCTATTGCCTCCATCCTGTACTGCTGAAAGGCAGCTCTATTATTATTGACGTTTTTGGGATCTTTGGAAATGTGGTCAGAGAGAGTTCTAGTGGCTTATGTACTTTACGGCGCATTCAGTGGGTGATGATGATATTATCAAGCAAGGTGCAGTCGTCGGTACTCATACACAGCATTTTCATTTCACACACAGAAAGGGATCACAAGAATCGACCGGCAAAACCCAAAGCTGACGCCCTGCCGCGCATGGCCTGCCCAAGCAATGCTCTCCTCGCGCAACTTCGTGCGATTTTGTCGGATGGATCGAAAATGCGTGATTTGTGATGACGTAGTACCCATTTTTTGTGTTCTCGCAGCACTTGTTGGACACTTGGAAGGGATCACATTTATTTCTTTGCCACGATACATACCGTACAAGTATTATAGTCGTACAGCAAACCAATAACAACAACAACTGCAAACATAATGAAGTCCGCAACCGTCATGTCCCTAGCTTTGGCAGTTTCCTCTGTCTCTGGGTTCTCCATTTCAAATACCTTGGCAAAATCATCGTCGTCATCCTCTCTCGTACTTCCAACATCAACACAACTTTATGAATCAATCGTATCTCCCTTTGACGAAGGAGGTGGTGCAGAGACTGTGGAAGGAGAAAGAACGGAAGGCAAACCCCCTTTGGAGGGTCCATTGGAATTGACATGGGAAAATGTGGAGGCCGTCCTTGACGAGATGCGTCCCTATCTCATTCAGGACGGCGGAAATGTCGTGATTTCGGAAATTGATGGCCCAGTCGTCAGATTAGAGTTGCAAGGAGCTTGTGGCACTTGTCCATCATCGACACAAACCATGAAGATGGGTTTAGAGCGAGGACTTCGAGAAAAGTATGTAGAGTTTCACTATTGTTTACAAGGATTCGTTCGTTCATTCTGACCAAATGTGAAAACGCTCATCAAATTTTCTTTCTTGTTTTGTTTTTTATGAAAAGAATTCCAGAGATTCAAGAGGTTGTTCAGTCTATGCCTGAGGGTCCACCTTTGTGTGATGATGAAATCAATGTTGTTTTGGACGGTGTCCGGCCATTCTTGCAAGTAGCAGGTGGAACCATTGACATTGATCGCATTGAAGGAGAGGGAAGTTTGCAACCGACTGTCTGGTTGGAAATGAAGGGAAGTAGTGCAAGTCTAAACTCGGTCAAACTAGAAATAGCACAACGACTGCAAAGGCATTTTATGATGGCCGGATTGCAAATCCAATGGAACGAGTCCTAAACTAAAGCAGAACGATCAATCGATTTCTTCAAATTCTAAATTACATTGATATATGTTTTGATTAGCTCCCAAAAAGTGCGACAGAGAGTCGCCAGAACGCTTTTTAAGTCTTCAAACGCTTTATTTGACGAAGATCCTCTTCTTCATCTTCCACATCCAACAGGTCATCTTCGTCATCCATGTCATCGTCGTCCATGTCGTCGTCAGCATCATCCATGATTTCATCGTCGTCGTCGTCATCATCATCGTCGCCAACCAGCACCGTGGATAGCTCCTCATTTTCAGGGAGATACGAAAAATACAAACGACCGCTGGAAGTATTTAGCTGTATGCGGAACTTAGCTTTTGCAGCGAGATCGAGACACTTAGCTCTTATTTCAACCGGGTTCTGTGGATCAAACAGATGAAGCTTTGGTGAGATTGGAACTCTAGAGAAACGGCATTGCATCAAATTGAAAACTTACCCGATGAGGATGCTGGCATAGATCATTGAGGTGAAGCAACTTGTCCTCAGTAGCGACTAGTCGCATATAATATGCACATTGTTCAACAATTTTCGGTAACGCTGCCATTTTGTGTACGATTTGTGGTGATAGACGGCGGCAATATGACTCAAAATCTTTCAAGCTTTGCTTCTTCGCAACGACACTTTGCAAGTTCAAAATCATTGTGGAAAAATCCAACTTGGTTGCTTTCTTCTCGTCAGCACTTCTCATTGGATTGTAGTAGGACTTTCTTGCGTCACCAGTGGCTGGATTGGCACGCAAGTAGGATTCAATCTCATCCAAAAGAGACACAAGACCAATGTAGAGACGCAAGAACAGGTAAATCGATTCAGTCCCGAATAGCAGCTTGAACTTGTCTTCAAGCTGAATTGGCGACAATGTTTTCTCCTCAATCTTAACTTTCTCCATCTCCAGTGGCACGTTGTCATCTCGGACATAGTAATAGCTTTCACTTGCATTTGGTGGTAAGCCGTATGCTATCGAAGATGGACTAACGAATCCAATGCCGAATGGAAACTTAACACGATATCTTGGTCCGAGATCTTTCTCCTCTTCGATAAACGAGAGAATCGTACCATCGCCGTACACGGTCCTCACGGGTTGACCAACAGCATCTGTTTTTATTATGTATATAAAATGAGATAAGAATGAACCAACGCTCACTGACCACACTTGACTCATATTTGAAACTTACATTGAGCCACAACGAGCATCGTCCCTAGAAAACTTTCACGGGCTTCATCTTGGACCCAATGGATAGGGTAGTTGAAGAAAGGAACCATGAATTCCATCCACACTCTACCAATTCTCTCACGCTCTCTTTTGCTATGATTGTTGGTCGAGTCAAAGGCCATGACGGAGCGCTGCGTCACCAGTCGGACTGCGGTTCTGTGGGCTGTAGAATCTTGTTTCACATCCAACATGACATAAGGCTCATACAAAATAGCTGACCGATCAGGCGAGCTCAAGCCAAAGACAGCATTGAGGCCTGAACGCTTTTCACGACTCGAACAGTAAGATCGTGCGTCCATACATTGATCGATCACTTCATCGCCAATCAAGGTGCGCTCAAGATCACGCCTCTTAAAGTGACACTGAAAATCCAAGCTTCCTTCGTAATTTGCTTCGCAGCCAGCTTTCCACTTCGTAAGCAATTCGCTCTTTTGCTTTCTCCACTCGGAGTCTTTCTGTCGAAGGCGTTGGTAGACAATGGGAAGAACTGCGAGTGGATTTCGATTCAGATGTTCGATGACTTCGTCACCGTTATCCCCATATATCCTGCCAATCGCATTGATTTGAATCGAGTTGAGAGTCCTCGCGTTCAACCTGTACTGCAGACGCCCTATGGGTTGTCCATCCTTCTCTTCATTCTCTCTCAATCGTGTCGCCTCTTCCGCGATTGGTTCAATTTGACGCATTGCAAGTGCATTTCGTTCAATGGCCATATCCACCTCAAACCTTTCATCTTCTATTCTGAACATCGCTTCTTCATACGCATTCTTTCGCACCCTAGAAATATCAAAGTTCTCCGGGGATTCCAGAGCTTTTGAATCTTTCTTAGAGCCGTTGTCGTCCAAGTCCGCATCAACAGACCTGTATGGACAAAAGACGGTGTCATTTAGGACCTCACGATCCTGGTCAGTCTGACCAGTGTGCTGAATGAAGAGTTCAGCTGGATAGTCACTAGGATATGTGGCATAGGATGTCGTTGGAAATTCAGCATCGCGAAGATCGTAATCTCTTGCTCTCTTCATGCCGTATTTGGCCTTGTGCTTGGCCAGAATTTCTTGTTTTGCATAAGGTCCTCTCCCAATCAGAATCTTCTCAAAAGAAACAAATTAGTTCGTTAGTAAAAAAGTGCGACAAAACCTCGTGCATACAGTGAACTCACCTGTTCAAATTCCCGTAGAAGATTATGCGCTTCGGATGCAACATCTGGATTCTGCGCACCGCCGCCGGCGTGAGCACCACTCTTCGGAGCGTGCCCCTGAACGAAAAGCCCGCGTAATAGCAGCAAAAGCTCGTCTTTGTTCAGAACACCAGTAGCGAACAAATGAAGACATTTCAAGAACTCCGTATAAGGTGTATGACGCCTTGTTCCCGATGGCTTATCTGGAGCGAGCTCTCGACGATTCAAGTGACGTTTTGCTCTTTGAAAGAAAACGGTTTCGGACACTGTTGGTTGAATGGGTAGGGTAGGCAACATGGTTGGCCTTCCCATCTTTGCTGCTGTCTGCTTGACGGATAGAGAAGTTTTACGAGGTGGTCTCGCTGGGGCGAAAGACACCGTTCCATACACTGCGCTTCTATAGATTTCTCTTTCACGCTCGGCACTTCGCGCTTGTGTCGCACCAAATGGAATAGCTGAACGTGGGGTGGCGGGTGGAAGCGGCTGTGCTATTCCCACAGATTGAGTTGGAGAATGTACTTGGGAGGAGGGCGATTGCCGCATTGAAATGGAAGTTCGCTTCCTAGCTTCTGCAGCCCTTTTCCGTGCCTCCGCTTCTGCAGCAACGATTTCCAATTGAGCCTTTGCCTCAGCTTGAACAGCATCAGGCAAAAAATATGTAAACTCCTTCAGCAGATCAGGATGTTCTGCAAACAAAACGGAAACTTCTTCCAACACTTCCTTGATTCCGCGCTGCTCCTTCTGGTAGGTGTGCAGAATTTCGAGAAACTTTTTATAAGTCTCTGGTTCATTTGAGAATCTTTTCTTGATTGTAGTGACATAGTTAATTGCATGGTCGAATTCCAAAGGCGGACCACCCTCTCGATTATTTGCCGCCGCTGGAGCCTGTGCGACAGGGGCATTTTGTTGGACCGCTTGCCCTGCAGCGTGCATTCCCATGTGAGCTTGATTTTGCTGCATCATCGAGGGGTGTTGGCCGGGAAGACGTGCTGGTACCTGTGCATCTGGACTTGATCGTGGCTGCCCAACGCCACCCAGTCCAGCCTGAGCGATCTGAGGAGCTGCAGCATGTGCTCGCGGGGCTCCAATTGTAGATCCTGCTGCACCTCGGGTTTGCTGTTCCAATCGCACTCTTGCAGCAGCATCTGCGGCTGAAATCATTTGAGGTGGTTGGCCCAGCTGTCCTCTCTGCTGCATATGCATCATGCCTTGAGGAGGATAACCAGCAGCTGATGCCACGCCAGGACGTTCGACTTGTTGATGAGCTGCCAGTCCTTGGGTTGAATGTCCCAATGCAGCCTGTCCACCAGCTCCCAGAGGATTCACACCAAGTCCTCGAGCAGATGAAACAGCAGCTGCAGGTTTTGCTGCAGCTGCCTGACCATCGGCAGCGACACCAGGAACTGTAGTAGTGGTCACAGAAGTACTTGCCCTTGGACCAGATAAAATGTGTGTCACCGTTTCTCCTGGAGCTCTGAAAACCGCCACTGGCGTTCCATCTCCATCCAGTGGGAGTTCGATTTTGTAACCCTCCGGTAGAAAGGTGTTGAAACCAAGAACGAGCTTTCTATTTCCCTGAAACAAATTCGATACTCGTCTAATAACCCCAGGTGTATCGATTTGCTGAGTCTTGAATGTCTTCATAATGTCCAAGAACTCATTATAGATGTGCGGCCGATCCCCAAATTCAACCTTGACTTGGTCCAGATAAAGAAGTGCATCTTCTACTTTGAGCTCCCTCATTTCCATAGAATCTCACTGATTCACAGACCTTCCGATATGAATCTTAGACACTCTCTTTCGCTTTGTTTCTGCTATGAAATGGGAGCAAAACAGGTGAGTTGTCTTTCACAACATCCTTGAAGTTATCAATGAATTCATCGGCAAAACAGAATCATTGCTGACCAAGTGACGTCGCGCGATCTCCGCGCCGAATCCCGAACACGATGCGATTTCGGTCGGAGGCGATGGTGTCTATTCTCGTTGGACAACCATGAAATACGAAGATGGAATCGCACACTAATATCGCAGCATGATTGGGAAGAGTCTTTGAAGTGTGTGTATGAAAAAGTTGGCTTGAAAATGATGACACAATGCTTCAGCACGGCTCGCAAGGTGACCGGTATGGAAATTGGAGTCAAAAAGCGATGTCCGTAGCAAAAGTACCAGAATTGGCGTAGAGCTCGTCAAAATTCAATTCAACTCGCACCAAGACACGAATTCCGCCAGGGCTGCTGTGTCAACCAGCCGATTTCAAGTACCAAGCTTTTCACATCGACACTTATCAAGACTCATTAACCAACTTTCTGCAATTGTACAATCTGAATGCTCCTAACGCTCACATGGCGCTTACCTTTCTCGAGCCAATCCCCTGTTGGGCGACAAGATGTTGCCTGTTTTGCAGTTTTGGATGAAGAACTCGTTTTATCGGGGTGCGGTTTATCGTTAGTGACATTTTCAAACATGACCATTTTCAATCACGAATTTGAGTTCCAAAAACGATATGAGGAGGAATGACGAAGAGTGGAATGACATGCTACAGTAATATAGTAGTGTTTTATCTTTCTGTACTATCTACAATTGGTAGGAATGATTTATTACCACCAATAGTCTTCAATGAACGAGGCAGTATCTTGACTTTCAGGAGTAGAACATGTCACTTCCAATGATGGTGGTGCAGCGACACGATCACCCAATGAGATTTCTTCTCCTTCTTCTTGATCATCTGTTTTGCCCGGAAGAGTACTTACTTGCGGCACAAGTTTGGTAGTCGGTGTAAGTTTGGCAATCGGGGCCAGTTTGGGTCGATTGCCTAGATTCTCAGAACTTTTCAATTCCAACTTAGTGGGAGTATCTTTGCCATTTCCATCGGCATCAGTTTCGTTTGAGAGAAGATCAGTGCCAGTGTTCCACTGAAGGGCCAAAGGCTGCAGCTTGGAACGAATTGGTCTGCTGCTCTTACCTCGCCCAAGTTTTCGTTCCTTCCAGTTTTTGGCCATTTTAGCAAAGGGTGAAAGGCTCCTGGTGGTGGAAGAGGAAGGATTCGATGCAGCAGAGATATCTGGCTGTGTTGGTGTCGATACCGAGACGGCAGAATGAATGGAAAATTCTTCACAAACAACACCATTTATGGCGTCGCTATCAGTTCCAACACTGGTAATACTATTAGCCTCCCATGGCGGTACCGACGGTTGTTGATTGGCTTTCGGTGCTGAGACAGCCGAATCAATGGATTCTTCTCTACCACCGTAGTGGCCATCGACAATACTCCCAGAGCCAATGATGCTACCGTTCTCCGATGCGTTGGAGGTAGGTGTCACATTTGGTGTTGATACCGAATGAGAGTCTGCCGAATCGGTGGAAGCTTCGACCTCGTCGTCTTTGTCACTGCTGTCAGCTTCGACACTTGCCACACTTTGAGATTCTGAGGTTGACAACGAAGGAAATCGCACATAGGCCTGATCTTCATTACCGGCAATGGATGATGTTAATACGCTATTATGAGCAGAGAAGGACTGGTCAATATCACGGACACTGCCGATGATGTCTTCCAAGTGTTGCCAATCTTGGTAATTGGAATCGAACAAATACTTCCGTGTCATGCAGCCTTCGTCATGAAGACGTTGTACCTTCTCCATGTCGCCAACAAAGCGAAGCTTGCTCCCTCGCGACACATAGAGTTGTGGATAGGCTGCACGAAGACCAGATAGCTGAAAGAGCACATCGCGGAGTGCCTTTTTGGAAGGGTCGGCTCCGTCGACAATCTCCAGTTGATCCAGTTCGTTTGAAGCAAGAAGGGTCTTCATTCGCTCTTGATGCGCTACATGCTTGCGATTGATTGAAAGTGAAGTAGTGAGTAGCAATAGAACAGGTGTCGATTCTTCGTCGGATTTAATTCCTTGGTCTTCTTGGTCTTCTTCGACGAGCTGGACTTGGGGTTCCAGCTGCATTGTCGAATCATCGTCATCAATCTTTTGGACGGGACTGAGGTCAAGAACTTCAAACGGTTCTTGCTCTTCTTCCGGCAATACGGCTGTTGATGGTGCATAGCAAATGTAATCGTCATGCGTCGCTTGGGGCAAAGGAGCAGGAGTTTGAAGGTCGCAAGGAGGCGTGTCACCGGTGGCTTGTTTCGATTGTAGGGTCACAAAGCTCAGAGCACGCCGTGTGGACTTTGGTGGCTGCAGAGCACTTCTTGTTTCTTTCGGCATAACAACAGATGGAGATGAAAGGCTACGACGAGCCTTTTGTCTCTTGACATCTTGCTCCATTTCTTGAATGGCGTATTGAATTCGTTTGATTTGAAAGGACTCCTTTCGCGAAGCTCGAAACATTTCGCGGCCAGACCACCAAAGTAGTCCTAGTAGAAAAAGTCCCACAACGCCGAGAACCTTCAATATTCGATCCAGGTCTTGTGCTTCTTTTTCTGTCATCATTTGTAGATGTTTTAATACCACTTGTGGATCATCCGAGACGTGGGAGCCTTCTTTCGTTAGCTTGGTGAATGAAGACCGAATCAAATCTTGGTAGAATGGTTCCAGATTTATGTCACACGAATCTTCCCGAGGGGGGCAACCTGTGTGTACATTGTCGTTAGGATCGTACTTTGCAGGCTTTTCAGCTTTTTGAATGTCGTCTTTGTCATTATGAGTCACTCTCGTTTTGGCGGCGGCGGCATGTTCTTGTTGTTCTTTCAACAATTCGTTCCATTGCTTTTGGGCAGTTTCAAAGCCAAATGTCACGCTGAGATTGGACTCTCGATCTACTTCGCTTGTTTCTCCTTGCCAGTCAAGGAAAAAGGTGGATGGAACAGGCTGGACTGGCAAAGCGACTGGATGACTCGTTTGTTCGTTGGCGACAGCAACGACGTGGCAAGAAGTCAAGCTCATCAACATGGCGCCAGTCTGCAGGTTTTGTACCCGAATGACATTGTCAAGTCCACATGGATTTAGCCACTTTTTTGAAAGCGACAAGGCCTCCTTGGTTTCGTCTGGGCGCTCTGGCAGCATCAAAATGTCGCAAACCAGCGGCAGCGATGCCAAGTAGGACGACGACGAAGGATCATTCGAAGCGCTTCTTGAGGACGAAGAGAAATCAGTATCGATGGATGGAAATTCATCGCTGCCACACGACGATGATAGAACAATGATTGACTGTGATTGTGACATGCTACACTTGAAACTTGGCTGAAAGCAAAGATATCAGATTGGCTTGTTGTGACAAAAGAACGTGCCAACAAGATGATTTTGATCACAGCGCGAAGTTCTTCTTTGCTGCGCGTATTTTTGCGCCGAAACGTCCAAGCCTGAATATTATTGTCAGCCCTTCGTCCGACGTTTCACCAACCAAAACGAAAAAACAGGAAACATCGAACCAACAAACGTCAATGTCGTCCTCTTCCCAGCCTGTCAATTTGCTGTTCCAAGCACTATCATTGGATTACTCTGTGTTGGAAGCTCTTTTGAAGAAGCATAGGAACAGTCATGGTCGAACCTTGTACTTTCGACGCATGAAAATGGTCTTGCGAGCACTCGAAAAATGGCAACCAATGTCGTTGGAATCCGACGTGCAAGACTTGAAAGGAAAGGTTCAAGGTCTACAAAAGAAGAAGAAGAAGAAAGCCAAAGATGAAGAGTGGTCAATATACAAGGCGAAATCCAATGAGACGAATCGTTCAGAAGACCTGAAGCAATCTTGGAAGGAAATACTGCAAACTATAGTTGAGGGATTTCCTGAGGTGATATCTCGTATTTTGCATGCCAGTGAAGCCTTGGTGACGGAAATTCAGAGGGGCTTCTTTCTTCCCTTTTGTACGGTAGCGTTGGCAGCACTGGCAAGGATATCTTGCTTGCACAAACGGATTGGAAACTGGGCCATATCCGAGATACAAGCCATTGGGTCTCAAGAATCCACCAACTTGCTCGAATTTCCACCTGCTTCCATGCAAAAAGCAGTGGAACTCTTTCTGGAGAGTGCATCAGATGAAACACAAAGAAATTTTGAAAGCGAGGCTCTGCTTGCTAGTATTGGCATTGTCAGCAAGAGATCGAGTTCGAGTCTTGAAACGAACCACCATGAAATCATTCAAGACTCGGAAAATGATGAGACAGCCAAGATTTCTAGGCAACTTGAACTCGACAATGAAAATGATGTTGGCGAATCACTTGTATCCATGAGCACCCCAAGCGCGAAAGCGACTGTTGAGAAGGCTTCCAAACCAAAGAAGAATGCTCCTTCATCGTCCGAAGTAGATCAGAATGCCACGATCCTTGACCGGTTAAAGGGAGGAGATTCAACAAGTAAAGGCAAAAAGAAACAGAGCCAGAAACGAAAGGACCCTTCTCCCTCAGTGGAACCTTCAGAAGGAGATGACAAGAAGAGGAAAAAGAAAAAGAAGAAGAGGAAAACCAAAACCAAAGGAAAGGATTTCTTTGATAGTCTGTTTGATTGAACAACTGCAGGATTGCTTCATTCGATCCTAATTATGTTTACCTAGAGTGGTGTGGAAAGTCGAGGCTACGATTGCACCTCTTTTCAACTTGTTATTCAGAAGAATACCCATGACAGGAAAAGAGCTACTACGTTATGCTGGAAATCAGTCAGTTGAATGAGAACCACTATTTGGCTATGGCGCTCAAGAAATGTGCCTTCCTTGCTCAATCTGAAATCAGAGAAATTGTGACATCGCTTTGTCTGTATGTGTCATCGACTTCGAAAGATGTTGATAGGGATCATCTCTAGAACCAGGACTAAACTGATGCATTTATAAACCAGTCGAAAGGTTGGTGTATTGAAGACGAGCATTTTCAATTTGCTTTGGTATCCATGGTACTGTTTTAGGCGTTTTAGAAGGCTTCGGGTTCATGACATCTTGACGGAACAATTGTCAAAGAGCTTCTCATCACACATTGCTCATTGCATAGAAAAGATTTCTATCTGCACAAAACCCAACAGATTCAAGATGAAGACAACCCCCATGATGGCACTACTCACCATTGGCGTATCGAGCGCGTTCAACGCTAGTATCCAACGCAAGACTACGTCCCATTTCCAACGCAATGCGATGAAGAACGACGAGAACGGTCACGATGTTGTACCAGTTACTTCCGCATTCCGGGATATTGATATAGACATTGACCGAGTGAAAGAGTGCACCGAGCACTTTGGAAAATGCAGTGTCAAGGAAATGAGACAATTGAAGAACGGTGCGTTTGTTGTGAAATCTTTGTGTTGATAGACCTGTGCAAATGCAAAATGACTCACACAATGGCTACTTCGCAGATCTTCACGACAAACGCATCCAAAATGTAGTATTTGGAGAATCAGGAGCTCCAGAAGCAATTTTCGAAGAGAAAATATTTGAAGACGAACTGGATTTGCAGCTTAGTTTGCTTGAAAACGAAGTGCCAAAGTCATATCTCTTCCCTGAAGTCGAAGAAGAAATGGACGATCTGCCACATCTAAAGGATGGAACTGTTGCCGCCAGCTTAAAAAAGAGCGTTGAAAAAGAGAAGAACATTTTGTTGTTCGAAGAGCTAGCCGAAGAGGGAGTTCTAGAGTCCCTAGCTATTTGCGGCTTTCTCGGGCTTGTGGCGTTTGCGCCGCAAGTTATCTTCCATTAGTATACAAAAGGAATCTCTGCATATGTAGAGGGAGATAGATCTCAGCTCTTGCATTTTAAAAACACATACCGGTACTATCTCACCATTGGTTCCTGACTAGTTTCAAGTTCTCTCTCCTCCCTTTTTTCTGTTTTTTGTGACGTACAGACTGTACTGTATGGTACCAGGTACCCGGTACCAGGTACGGTTCGAGTACCTGTACCTGTACCTGTACCTGTACCTGTACCTGATACCTAGTACTGGCACCGGTACCACCGTAGGTATTGCGACTTTCCGATCTGCGGAATCTAAACTCCTTCGCTCGTTGTGGCTGAAACTGCATTGTGGGCGATGGTCTTTATTCAGGGGTCCCTGCTAAGTCAGAAGTGTCAAACAGCTGTCAAAGTGTCTGGTACATGTCACACCGCCGGAATTTACAACAAAAATGCAACCCCCTCGTATTACTACTCGAATATTTGGTACCACCGAAACATCGGCGAGACAACCCCTGCTACTATGGGTTTGGTGTCAAGTCCTTCGATTTTTGGTGCAAAACCGCGCAGAGCTCCTGAATTTCACTGTCTGGCATTTCTCGCTATCGCTCACTGCCGAACCAGCTATCCATTACTGTAGGGTGCCAGAACTCTCTTGTCAAACCTGACACAACCTGACACTACCTGGCATCATTGTCCACACTTGACACCAACGCTTACATAGGTGATAAAAAAGTATTTTTTCGTTAAAAAGCAGTCAAAGTATTGACATCACAATACGTTGCTCTTATAAACTTGAAAACGTCAACGAAGCAATAACCACATCCTTTCATCATTGTTGCCTCCAAGTGACTTCGACACATCTTCTGTAAACTCAACTCAATATGATTATGGATCTCGGAGCCCAAGTATCTGCATTGGTCGGCACCAGCGCCCTAATTTACCTTCTTACAAAGCCAAAGCCAGAAACACATGAAGAGGTTGTGATGGAGCTTACAAACCCAAGACGACTCAAGGGAGCATTTAGATACTCCCCAGACCACCGAAGTAGATACTACCAGTACCAAGAATCAATGATGTCCGGAAGCTCTGACGAATCTTCCTCTGTGGTCTCTGATCGATCGAATTACACCATGTAGTTGTGAAATCACAATGGTCAAAAACCCGAATCGCTAATATGATGAATACATCTATATGTACAAACGCTGTGGGAAACCACTAAATTAGATTAAACTTTACAATGCTAACCCAAGTTTCACACAAATTGTCTCCTGTCAAAGTGTTAGGACTCCTCAACCGATTAAGATCCTTTGCGTGGGCCTCAGTTTTGTCATGGCACCATCAACGGATAGATTCTGTTGAAAACGAACACCAAATTCTGATGTTTATTCCTAGCTACTTTTAAATTTTTAAAATCCTTTATCCTTCGTTTTGATTCCTAGCTTCCAATCAGTTTGGCTTCCATATGTATAGATTTCTTGGAGCTTCTTGTCAAAAACGTTATCCTTTTTCCATTCTAGCGCAATCTCGTACAGTTCAAAGGCTGCCAATGCATCTTCAACAGAATCATGAACGTCTTGTTGCATGTCTCGCTTTAGCACGTAGTTCACTAGGAATCGGAGCGAGATATATCGCCTTCCAGGCTGATGGAAGATCTCAACTGTATCAATGACTTGATTTGGAGGAACAACAAGGTTGACATTTGCAAAGTCTTTCCTCAACCCATGACCCAAGAAGATGCAACCCTGTTCCATTAAGTATCGTAGCTTCAGATATGCACAACGTGTGGAGATCAAGTTATGTGGCGACTTTGTAGGATCCAAATCTTCCGCAACGATTCCACTGAATCGAGTAAGGTAGTCTTCAACGCGCTCACGCGGGAGAACATGATCATCGAGGATCGTGCCTCGACTCTTGCAGTCGATGACTGATATTCTAGCTATGGCATGCCTTGTTTCCCGTAAGATTACCTTAGAACCAGAATCGGTCAAAGCTGCTTCTTCCTCCTGGACTGAGACAAATTCTGCATCAAATGCTATCAGCATTCCTGGTGATACAGTCGCCGGGTCAAAGGCTTCTTGCTTCTTAACAGATGTTGCTGAGGACAGCGATCGTGCATTCATAACGTCTGGAGAAATCGAGACAGCTTTTTCTTGCATCTCGTTATCTTCTTTATCGTCCGAGTCTGCCATCGCTCGGAAAACAACCAAACATGGCTCCTTGAATGGAACGTGAAATGCTCTTGCATCGTCACCAATCGTCTTTGTAGCTGAAAACCCATTGAACAGTATCCAATCATTCTCATTCTCTGATAGACATGATAGCTTTGTCTCTATCGCTTCGGAACGTTTCTGCAGTGTATCAGGGGTGATACAAGATGACAAGACCAATTTGGACCGATCCATGGAGTCCATTACCTTTGCGATTTCTAGCTTTTGACATAGAAGTGCGCGTTTCTTATGGTCTTGGTTGATTCGAGCATGCAGAATATGATGACCAGGGTGCTCGGAATCTTCAAAATCACCAGCGCCTTCGTCGGACACAAAGGACAAGACTGCATCCAAGCGATAGCGGAGCTTTTGCTTCGAGGAGACCTCGCTGACCAGTTTTGATACGGCTTCTGGCAATGCAGACGACTTGTCTGTCGAACGAACTTTCTCTATCTCCCCATCTTCCTTCATTCGCATCTCACTGACGGTAACGTTACCATCTTCAAGAAGCTCAATCTCTACAATTTCAGGTACCCATGGATTGCCACCGTCATCGGTTCGCCAGATCCACAGACCATCTTCTTCTTTCCTTCCTGCACAAGCTCCCGAGAGAGTCAAGATTTCGGGCAACGACGTAGCTATCTTCCGTTGTACAATTGTTTCGTAAGCTTTTGACTTTTTGTTCCATGCTCGTAGGCGCGTTTCTCTGCTAAGCGAATGCTTGAGCACAGTAGTAAAATGAATATCAGTCTTCTTCTCCGCATCGCGAGTGAAACAGCCATATGCAAAATCAACTGTCAGCACTCTAGTTGTAGATTGTGACGAGAGCGTGGATTCCGACACGAACTGGTTCACGCTCATAAAATCCAGACCATGAAGCGAATCCATTAGTTTCTTCTCGGAATTCCTTGAAAGCTCCTTGTCCAATTGGTAGGCGATGAAACGGTAGAAGGCTTCTGGTCTCCGAGGCGGATCAACAGCGGCTGGGGAGCCGTCAAGAACTTGAAGCTGCTCGGCTTCTGGCATTCCTGCCATTGCTGTCAAGAAGTTTGACGGCACCCACGTTCGAAGCTTCGGACGCAGCTGATTTGAATTGGGTTTACTGGGATGCGAAAGTGCACAGCTATACAAACTTTCGATTTGATGGAAAAGAAATCCAAGCTCCGGAGACAACGCATTCTCAAAAGCAGTTGACGACCAAGATTTTTCTGGTACTTGAGCGTTCAAAACTGCTGACCGAATTTCAGGGACAAAATAGAGCAACAGCAACACCGGGGAAGCAAATGCGTTTGGCATTGTGGACGGATAGTCCCATGCCGGAAAGAGCCCTGTATCGTTGTAATCAGCTGGGTCAAAGACACCAGCAGTTTTGAAGTTGGGCCTGACTTGACGTCGATAGCGAGCTGGAATCTCATTCTGGTTCGAAATATAAGTTTGTTGAGCGTCACATTGACCTAAACATCGTGCACATCAGAAAAAGATGTACTTACCTTTCCATCGCCCGTTGATCCCTTTCGCCTTCGCCGTCCATTCAGTCCATCCTCGTAGCACAACGACGATAGCTTGGGACAGTGCAAGAGCTTGTTTGGATTTAGTTTTGGTGGTTGAGGCACCTTTTTGGGATTCCTCCGTTTCGGTTGCGACGCATGATTTTCCATAATGTCCAAATCAAGCTTCGATGTCGGTATGGTAAGTAAGAAATCTCCTTCACCCGAAGCTGCTTCCTTCAGAAAAGACTCCGAAACAGTCCTTTTCGCAGGGTACAAAATTGGTTTCCCAGCGATTGATCCAAACGAAGCAACCGAGTTTTCGAGAGAGAATCCCGTAGGTGACACTTTTGGTATGCTTTGCAGAACATAAGTAGAAAATACAGACTTTGTTTGTTCATCATTGCCATTTCGTCTTCCCGGATCAGCATTGCGACATAGGATAGTGGGATCAATCGGTAGAGCTGTCACTGGTTGCTCGTATAGCTTAGTCATATCGAGTGCCTTCTTTGCCTTTGGACGAGGTGGCGCCGGGACAAATGCCGCAGAAGTTGCACGAAGCTTTGTTTTTGCTTTGTATCCTGCTAATTTGTACATCAAAACACGGCCGTCAGAAGTTCCAAGCGCTAGTTGATCTTCTGATGCTTCCATTGCACTTATGGATTCGCCTTGAGCGAGTTGTGCCGCAAAGAAGCTTGTTGACTTGTCATCGGGTTCTTGGAAGGGGACGAGTATCTGCAAACCACCACCGGCTTGACCACTCGCCACCAACATACGATTCGATGCCATACTTTCAACATCTGGAATAAATGACACGTGGCGAGGGCAGCTTCCGACCCCGGCAAACATGTGTGGTGTGCCTCCTCGGCCCAAATATCGCATATCATAAACATATACTCGAGTATCCGGGAAGCCGTAGAGGATGCTGGTCTCCTTGTTGGCGGCCACCCGGGAACTGTACCCCGTGGTTGCAATCAACATGCCGTCAGGAGAGACACTCATGCTTGAAACACCACCGACATGACTCTTTACTGTAGCAATCTCTCGCAAGGATCCATCCATGATTCGTAACTTGCCGTCTGCACAACCTGCTATTATTGCCCCTCGCTCTTGACTGGTTGCCATGGCCGTGATACTAGGTTGCATCGAGTGCATCTTGTTCTTGAATGCCGCAGAGTTGACGACTCGAAGACCCTGCCATATATCCATACAAAATATATCATGGTGCGAGTACTTGTCGCCACAATTCGTTCCGCCAACCGAAATATGCGTTGCTTGCCCGGAATGCGGATGAATGGTCCCTGCCAGCATTCCGCTGATATCATGATCGTGCACTTGTAGACCACCATAGGAATGAATTCGTACTGCCGAGGGAGAAATAGTAGCCGCATGTTCGTTCAGTGACAGCATGTCCGTAATTCCAATATGTCCTTGTTTTCCACCCGAGGCGGCCATTGTTTCGACCGAACTTCCCCCGTAAGGCGGCCGATACGCGTGTGGCGGAATATGCTGTCTTCCAGGCACCATTGGAACAGTCTTATTGATACCATACATACATTCATAAACTCGGCTCCGAGTGGAAGACGGCGCTTCAGGATGGCCTGCCACACACGAGTAACACATGCCATCGGAAATATTATGGACTGCCAATACGGACGCTCGGTGGGCTTTCCATCTCGTAGTAGTCATGGACTGTGTGGCCGATGCAACGTACATGGCATCATAACTGGCATCAAACGTCAAGGAAGTAACTGGAAAACCAAAAACCTGCGGTGTAAATTCTGATCGATAGCCATAAGATCCTCGGGTGGTGGTTTCTGGAGTGGCCCAATTTTGATAACCTTGATCTGCTTGCTGATTCCAACCAGACTGACCATATTGCGGATAATATTGTGAATCAGCATTCATGTCTTCATACATGCCTCCGCCGACATCTTGTGGATACACTTGGCCTTGTCCGGCGTACATTTGGCTAGTTTCAGGGGCATAATATCCAGCAGATCCGTCGAAGTATCCTTGGCCAGATGGGCCGTAGCCACTATTTTGGTTGCTGTAAGACGACATTTGAGCTGATGGATTTAGCAAATCATCGTCTACTGGATGGTGTCAATGGGTAGTGTGAGAATTTTTATTGTCTTTTTGTTGTTACGATGTTGTTCTGCGTGCATTGTCAATGATGATGATTCTTCTGATTTTGGGTTCGTATCTGTCGCACGGTGGGTATGCGCAAGTATAATACACGGTACACGTACACGTATTACCTGTTGGAGCCTCACAAGAGACCGTTTTGTGCGATGGTCGGTATCGTACAGTAGTTTGGCCCTGAATGAGGCTTGTACCTGGTACGAGGTAACAGGAATTGATTGTGGGAAGGGAACAAGAAAGGAGAATGTCTTGTATTGTTAATGTTTCTGCCAAAGCACAGGTTAATTTTTAATAAGCAAGTCAATTAATTATTAATAGTAGAAAGACGAAAAATAGTAGCAACAAAGAGTGGCTACATGCGACATAAATGCCTGAATGTCGCATGAATTCCCAAGCAGATAGCGAGATTGTAACTCTAGTACACTATAGAAACCGCTGTATTGTCCAACATTGAACTCACACCCTAAACTCCCATTTGTTCGTACACGGTAGATTGTAGTTTTCAGCGTTCAAAGGCCCAATCTGCTTCACTCCTGCTGACATCAAAGCCAACATGATAGTCAATATCCACATGAAGCAATGGTTGATTCAGTTCCAGGCACCAGTAATTATCATAGTACTGTACCTCGGCCAAAAGCTGCAGCAAGCATTGGTCACCAGATAATCGCCAGTTCAACTGTCAGATTGCTTTCTCCTGCAGCTGTCAATATATCAGCGGTAATTAAACCCAGAGAAATCAATGCTTTGTCCATTTCGTCGTCACTACATGTAATCGGGTATCTCTGATTGGCGTCAGAGGACTGCAGCTGTTAACCGCTCCCGCCACTTGTCGTTCCTTGCTTGCCTGTGTACGGTATACATGATGCTATGAGGTCGAGGAATGGCAGCATATGAAACTCCGAGATGGTTACATCTACACCGCCCGCTCAAGTGACGTTTCGTAATTGGAGTGCATCGCATTCGACCTGCACGGCCAAATTTGAATCCAAAGAATGATTTTGACTTCAATGCATTCAACGCCTCTTGAGAAAAGAACATAGTGTGCATCGTAACATGACACGTCAACTGACTTCAAAAAGATGTAAGATTGAATCTCGACTAAATCCCGGCACGTGTCCGGATTTGAACCAAAGAAACGGCGGCGGCATTTTGATTCGTAGAATTTTGAATGAACCTGGTACGTAATATTAGATTCACTCTGACAATTTTTTGGATCGTTCCAAGCTGAACGGAAAAATGCATGTGCTTTCCCTAAGTATTTGCAACGAACGAGGATCTAGCCGGCCAGTTTTTCTGTTCGATTCTCACGCCTGCTCAATTATGTACGATCCCTCCAATACCCGAGTAAATTACATCCGTTCTGTCATTTCGCAGGATTGTCGACGCTTCAGCAGTCTGATCTACGATATTAATACCGTTGACTTTGTCAAGTAAAACAGTACTCTTCCATCCCCATTGCATAAGATTATTCAGCTCAAAGTTGTACAACAATGGCAAACAACGCGGAAGCACAACCCGATTTGGAAAAGCAAGAAGACGTGAAAGCAGATAGAACTCGTCGTCTATTAAAATGGGCTATTGTTCTATCCGTGATTGCCTTGCTGGCTATTGTGGGTGTGGCTATACCGATGGCACTCAAGGTATTGCCAGAGAACTCTACAGAGACCTCCTCTTCTGCGGCATCAGCAGCGAACAAGGAAGAAACGGACGGCTTTGAAAACCAAGTTCCGGCGGAACCATCAATTCCACCCGCTCGGCCCACCCCAGCGGAACCTGATGCTCCAACTGCGTCTCCCACCGTGTCCACACGAGCGCCAACTGGCAAACCCACTAGAAGTGCAGAGCCTACTGACGATAATCCGTCCAGTATGCCCACTTTGTCGCCAACCACTCTATCACCAACTCAAAACCCAACTCCTTTGGCTTCTATGGTTCCCACCTTGTCCATTTCTCCCACTGTTGCTCCCATTGATCCCAATCATTCCTTCAAGCTGCGACTCTTCTGGCAACGAGGGTTTTACTGGCAAGAGTCTTTCCAAGAAGTTTGGCACTGTGTGGAATGTACCAAATGCAACGAATACGGAGCGGTAAGTAGCTTCTTGGATGACACCCAAATTTATTCGTTTATGGGTGATCAAGTTCTCACAATCAAATGAATCAACTCCATAATTCCAGGGTGACGGTGTAGAGCACGGCTGCGTAGAATATCCAACTGGAGATTCGTCATATTGTCAAGAGGGTGACATGTTTTGGATTATGGGTTGTCGACCGGGCCAGGGTGCCCGATTTAATGTCTTGGAAAATCCAGGATCTGGCCATCAAGTTCGATTGGCTGGCACCAACATTTGTATGGGACGCGGGGCTCCCGACGCGGACACTGGAGAGTGGAAGCGCAGATTGATGCAAGCCGTCAAGTGCGACAATAAGGACGCCAATCAATTGTGGGCTCCGTTTGAAAAACTTTCCAAATTTGAGCTTCGGCCATTCGAACATGCGGGCCGAACAGAAGACGATGCGGAATGTGTTTCCCAGCTGCATCACCCTAAAAACGGAGAAGTCATTTCTATGCATGGATGCAAGCTTTCCAGAATCTACGAAACTCGCTACTGGGAAGAATATGACTAAATATTAGAAATAGAGAAGGGCGCAGTGCACTACTCGGCAGCTGCATAATGTTCGGACTGGTGTAGGACTAGGACCTAACGGAATGTAATCCATGATTTGTAACTTTATTTACTTTATTGTATCTGTTGCGGTTTCTACTGTATGATAGTTGTGGTTCTTTGGTTGGAACAAGGTGGCTTGGCTATAGGATGGTTGTTTCGTTTATACTGACCACCATGATGTACTTGTATTCTTTACATGTTTTAGAGCATTAGCCAACTCAAAGCCATTGAATAGCATCTAAAATCTATCATTTATCGCTTTTTATTCGTGCGTAACACCTCACATGGTCCGTTCCTTCCGATTGTCGGTGTTGGAACCGGGATTCCAACTTTGAGATCCAATGTTTTGCTGCTTGACCGAGCGTGCAAATCCCGGCTCCGACTCCATTGATTGAATACATGAAACGACGGCCAGACAACGATGGTACGTTTGGATTTAGGTCATGTATTTTTGTAGGCAAGTTTCAAACCATAAGATCCCAATGACGGACTTGGATTATAAATCGCAAAGCGGCAATAGCGTAACTGCCATATAGTTAGCAACAATGAAGTTTTGGAAAGGTGACAGTGACAGTGACAGTGACAGTGACAGTGACAGTGACAGCGACAGTGACAGAAGCTCGTCATCATTAGAAGATGAAGCAAAAGAAGAAAACAGTTTCCAAACGGAATCCAAACAACAGGAGAGAGGCGTGTTTCAGACCTCCACCAAGGAACCTTCCAGGTCCTTATCTAAAGATCCAGATGAAGCTTGGAGGCAGATATCTTCCGATCAAACCTTTGCTGACCTCCCTTATGCTGATTCTGCCAAGAAGGATCCCAACTCTGTGAGGCTCGTATGCATGTCGGATACCCATGGAAAACACCGAGAGGTGGAGTTGCCGCCTGGAGACATTTTGATTCATGGCGGAGACTTCTCAAAGAGTGGAGAAACTGGAAGTATGAAGGATTTGAGTGCCTACTTTGAAGAATCTGGCTTTGCCGAAGTCATTTGCATTGCAGGCAACCACGATCTTCCATTGCATGCAGAATTTTACAAGGAAAATTGGAAACGATTTCATCGACGACAACCCTTTGACATTCAAGATGCCAAGGATTCCATTCGGAACTGTGAGTACCTGGAGGATTCTTCTTATACTTCCCAACGTGGTATTGAGTTTTACGGGTCTCCTTGGTCTCCCTTCTTCTTTGGCTGGGCCTTCAACCTTTATCGTGGGAAGGAAATTATGGCAAAATGGAAATTGATTCCAAACTTTACCGATGTTTTGATCACTCATGGTCCTCCTTTGGGACGGGGAGACTTCACCTCTAATGGGGTACGAGCTGGATGTTACGACCTTTTGATGGAATTACAGGAACGAATAGTTCCACGAGTCCACATCTTTGGTCACATTCATGAAGGAGCAGGGGTGACGTACGATTCCAAAACGTTGTACATCAATGCGAGTAACCTGAATATTTCTTATCAAGCAATTAACTATCCAGTTGTGGTTGATTTGCCAATCGATACAACTCAGCCACCGAAAATCGTTCGTCCCAATTGCATTATGAACCCAACAGAATTTGTGGAATGGTGCAGCAACGAGAGCTTTGATCTGATTGCCAATGCCATTAGAGACGATGATGAGAAAATGCAGGAAATGCCAAGTGGAAATCAGTTATTCACTGAAGATGCTTATGAAGATATTGTGAACCTGTTTCACCTACATCGGGATCGCAAAGTATGTGCAGAGCTAAAGAGGGCACTTGCCAAGCTATATGCACAATCATATAAGTAGAAAAGTTAAAGGTTATCTACACTCAATAAATGTAGCTGCAGCTAAAAGTGCTGCGCCATAGGACGCCTCTGTACATTCTGCCTTTTTAACCTTGATGTCTGGATTGTCAAATTTCGTTACTAATCGTCGCTCCCTCATTTCACTCCACACATCGTTGTTCGACCCACCTCCACAGGTCCAAACGATTGTAGGTGGTGGTGCCCCAAGCTCTTGGAGAACCTCAAAGCCATCTCGTTCTACGTCACTGATACCCTGCAATATGCCATGTAGGTAGTCTTTTCGATCGGCTGGAACTGGCTCCAAGACTGGCTGCTTATCAGAGTCTGCCGTTGGGAATCGCTCTCCAGGTTTAACCAGTGGGTAGTATTCCAGTGGACTGTCTTTAGTTGGATCAATTTCCTTACTCAAACTGGCAAGTTCGTCATTGCTAAATTCCAGTTTTCTCAAAATGGCGCAACCAACATTGCTAGCTCCTCCGACCAACCATGTCGCATCCTCGGATTCTTCAAAGCTTGGAAAACGGTGACTGTAGACACCTCTGGATGCATCTTCCACATATTCGTGACTCATTTGTTTCATTGCCAGCGTACTTCCTAGGGAGGTGACGGCCGTTCCAACAGCGGGTCTGGTGCCAGCTGCAGCAAAAAACGCAGCATTCGAATCCGTAGTCCCACCCACGATGACGCAGTCGTCTGGGAGACCCAGCTCCCGGGCCACTTCATTGTGGATGACTCCCATTCTAGCACCAGGCGATACAATCTCCAAGGGGAGAATACCATTTTCAGAGAGTGCATCCGAATAACCAGCTTCAGTGAAGCAGTCTGCCATCCAAGTGGGCCATTTTGTGTTTTTCACGTCGTACCCCAGTTTGAGACAATTATGCCAATCACTGGACACTAATTCTGTCGATTTACCCATTATTTTCTGCGAAACATAGTCAGATTGATGACACAGGACTTCATTCTCCGAAAGAGGTTCTTCCTTGATCCAAGTCAACAGTTTGGCCAAAGATCCAGTGCGAGCACGAGCCGTGTGTTTTGGTGGGGCATGCTTCTCCAGCAACTCCATTGCTTCTTTGGCATTTTTGTCGTCCTTGGTACTTCCAATAACGTCATAGTTGTACATGCGAGGCTTGCGAGTTACCTCCATTGTCGTTCGGTCCATGAGCAAACAGCTGGCAGATGTTCCCGAGACACAAATGGAGGCCACCGAATTCAATCCACCCAAACTAATGGATGCTCCACGAAGAAGGCTATGTACCGCATTCATCCATGAGTTCGCATCATCATAGGCATCGCTCCCATTCCATTTTATCGATTCGGCGTGAACTTCTCGATAGTTGGATTGGTCTTGTTCTTCTTGTTCAATCACCGATATTCGGGCACCGGAAGTACCTAGATCAAAGCCAACGTATCGACGACTCTGCAACTTGTTTATAGTCATTCCACTTGATACTTTGAAATGAGCCACTGTGATGAGCAAGGAAGCCAAACTCTTGAGATTCATGGATCTGCCTCAATCTTTTTAAGTTACGTTGTCATCAAGGTTGGAAGTTGTGAAGCACAAAAAATGAAATCTTGTGTGAGTCAGAGCTAACTTAGTGTTTACTTACGGTACAACGGATGGACGACACATCACGCACGGCGTGCTGGTGCAGGTTGGCGCTTCGCATGGGGGACACCGCCATCGCACCCTCTCGCCCCCGATTGACGAACGAACTTCGCTTGTTTCCAAGCAAATGAATAATGTTCAGTAGAGGGTGCAAGAACTTGAAACTGAAATTTACAATTTATTCTTCTCCGAACGAGCTGTGTTTTGGCTTTATATTGGTCTCATCAAAATAATGGATTCGCAAAGTCATACATACGAAAAGGAAGAGAGCGATGGGAACGAGCTAGAAGTCATTCCGCAACATGAGAACTCGGACGAATCCAAAGTCGAAGCAGATCGCAATTCTGATGTCCAAAGCCTGGAACGTTTGGTAAATCGTTCGGAAAACTCGTTGGACGATGACAATTGGAGTCAGCAAGTGGAAACGGATGAAACCGTACACATGGCGCCTTCTGTTGTGATGGAAGAGATGGAAGGTTCTCCACATCATGTCCCATCCATTGCCGATAATAATTCAGATGATCTCACCAGTGACCGCCGACTATTGTCTGCTTCGAATGGTCTTGCGCCAAAACGAGAGGAACCGACTCTAAAGGAGAAATTAGTGGAGCGAGAGCGCCAACGGCGAGTGGAAACAGAAAGAGCTCGCTTAAAACGTCATTTTGCGCTTTCCAGCAACGATGCTGGAGCGCCTAGTGTTGAATCCGGAGAGCCCGACGGGTCCGTACCCAGAGAAAACGGAAGCATAGCAGCCACTATTGGGGGAGGCAGTAGTGTGGCGTTTTTCGATCCAAATGATGAAGAAGGGCAGCGTTTGACATACCCAATGGAACGTTTCCTTCAAGATCAGGGTGTTATTGAAGAAGAGTCCACACGAGACGTGGCAAGAGACGGCGGAGTTCTTATGGAAAGATTTCTCATGGAGCCAGTGGTAGTCGTTGACAGTCCATCCGTCTCTCGCGAAGATAATCAGCATATTGACGGTAGTGCGTCATTTGAGGTTGAGCCACACAGTCAGGAGGAAACAGTAGGGGCTGTACGAGTGCCTCCGGAAGAACCTGTGATCGATCGAACTCCCTCTGATCCTGTAGAAGGCATGGGTGTGGGAGAACAAACAGCTTCAAGTGCTGATGGTGCAGCACTTCCAGATACGGAGCAAATATCATTCCCAGCAAGTCCCTCAATGGACCATTCGTTTGGATATGACGAACCACGCGTCCTCCGACTAACGGAGGCTGAGATTCAGGAAATGGCTGCCATCGATGAGATGAGCAGGTCCAATGCTCCTCCATCAGATCGTGGTGACATTTCAGAGTCATCCTTTGTTGGGGAGCTGATGTCGGACTTCGCTACTCCACAAATCGAGAATATGGGGTGGGTGAGCCAAGGGACAGGAGCAACTGAGATGGAGTCTGCTTCTGCTGATCATAGCCGAAGTGAGAGGACCATGTCCGAACATGATGGCAGTCCTACCATCAATATACCAGGAACTGCTTCCGTTTCTTCTAATGCTGTTTCTAGCACAGACGCAAGCGTAGCCGCAAACCCACCGAGTGAGATCGAAGGTGACGAGGCTCTTTTATCACCAATTCAAAGTAGACTGGAGAGCCTAGATAATCCAATTGGTAGCGAGGAAGATGCCAGTCATGGTGACGACTCCTTGGCCCCAATGCCGGTGGACGATCCTGGACCACCCGATCTCTTGCAAGAACCGGGCCAAGCGGAAATGAGAATTGTCAACCGACAGATACGCCCGGGTATGGTTCCTCGAAATCGAGGAGCTATAGCGAGTCCCTTGCGACGCTCCATATCGGCTCCTGACAATCTCAGTTTTGATGTGTCTGGATTTGACTACGACAAAGAAGAAGTTTCTCCAGAATCCCCTATTGTCAATCAAGAAGACGTCCTTCCGAGCGACATGTGGTCACCAGGTAGCAATATGAGCTGGTCACCGTCTTTGAAAAGATCTGTACAAGCAGCGACTACTCCTGTTAGCATTCCTGTATTGCCATCTTACAGCGACAACAACGATGAAACTGAAGGTGTGAAATTGAATCCTCGTCTTAGCAGAAACCAAATGAACGCAATGGGTACAAAAGCTCAGTCTGGTCCGACAGTCCCGACGAAGGTCCCAACTTTTCCACAGATGCAAAATGGTGAGGTAGATATCTTTGATCGAATTCGAATCAGCAACTCGGTTGATTCCAGTTATCAGAATGCCAACAGGAGGCAATATTTGGAGGGCACAATCGTGCAACGAGGTGAGTTCAAGTGGATTCGGACTCAGCATTACAAACAAAAACTTGAGATTTTGCTAACACATTTTTTAGCTTTTCCTGAGAGAGGGGTTATACTTTCAATTTCACTTCTATTGGAAGTACCCATACTTCTCATGATTTGTGGAGGAAGTGATAAACTCTTTGACATTCTTGGCCAATCGAAGTACCAGCTTTTCGTAGGCATTCTTCCAATATGCACAGCTGTGTCGGGGAATGTGGCTTTACAAACCAGCGAGCTAACAGTTCGTGCGATAATTCAAGGTCAGGTTAATCGCAAGTCATACACATCATGGATATTGAAAGAGATTGGAGCTTCTGCCTATCTGGGATTAGCTATGAGCACTGTTGTTGGTGTACTGTGTCTCTTTCTCGGTGGATTCCATTTGGCATTTGTTTCCGTGATGGCAGGAGCTCAGTTTCTCAGCATCCTTTTAGCAGGTCTGACAGGAAGCATAGTGCCTCTTTTGGCCACGAAAATCTTTGGCGACGAAGGAAAAAGCTGGAATAGTGCAATTGTTACAGCTGCTCAAGACCTGGTTGGGTCAGCAGTGATGGTGACAATGATCTACAAGCTGGGAGAAAGCTTTGGGCCGATGGAGGAGAATGGAGCAGAAAGCTGTGGTGTAGACAGCTTCTAGGACGGATGCTTCAGTGCTCGTCAGCCTTCGAGGAATCTGGAAGCATAACCTCGCCACGAAGAATTATTTTTGGAACCTGATCCACTTCGTTCCCCTCATGAGGGCACACATGGGGGAAGACTAGCAGGCGACCTCGTCGTGGTGACACTCGAGCCATGATCTTTGACCTCCCTTCTCCCGAGACGTCACCCAACAAAGTTGTTTCGCCGCTGTCATTATTATCAGTCAAATAAGCAATGAATGTATGCGTACTGCGTCGGCCTGAAGCATGATCAACGCGACACAAGTCCACGTGCGGAGCAAGTATTGTGCCCTTTTCTTTGTACATGAGGAATCTCATATAAGGAAATACAACCACGTCGTCGGAGGATGCAACAAGGGCGTTTGAAATAGCACTTTCGAGAACTTGGCGAATATACCCCTCAGCGTCGCAGTAGTACGATCGATCCGAGCACTGTGTACCTTTCTTCTTTTGATCCAAATCTATGGGAAGGCTTTCGCACAGCTCCAAGAGAAGTTCAACTTGGGATGGAGAAAAGGCATCCTCAACTGTAAAGGAACTGGCACCAGGATGGCTGGACTCCTTAGGAATCAGTATAGTTGCTGGCTGAGGGTCACTATGCTGATCATCAGCACATCTAAAGATCTCTTTAATCATTTGGTTGTTGTCACTCTGTCGTTGAGATTTCTCCAGATACAGGCCAGATTTGCTCAAGTCCTTCTCTGTGGCATCCAGTAATGAAAGGATTGATGATCCTCCGTTTGCAACAGCTGACAAACTAGCACCGCAGTCTACCAAGACATTTCCCATCTCGGTATAGCCTCTCCATATACAAATGTACAAAGCGGTTTGACCATACTCATTGCTCCACTCTAAGTCGACCCCTGCATCAATGCAAGCTTTGATGTACTGAATTGCGTTGCGATCAACATAGGTGAAGAACTTGTCCCTTCGAACGTCTTGACTGGAGCCCAATGATGGACGAATAGCACTGAACCAAGATTTAGCGACCGTAACTTTTTTCTTTTTCTTCTTGATCCTTGTTTTTAGCTCCTTTCCATTGACAGGTAGCGAATGAAGCCGTTGCAAAGACTCGAGTCGTTTTTGCGTAGGACTTAATTCTTTGGTTTCTGCAAAAGTGACGTCGTGATGATTCACTGGGGAATCGCAACAAGGATTCGCAACAACATCTTCGTTGCTCCTCATAGAGTCAACGTGGGACAATAGATGCTCCCAGAAGCATGGCTCACTGAACACGTCTCCATCTGGTCCAAACTGTAATAACGCGCCCGGCGGGGCCAGTCGTCCACTCAAGGGACACACTTCAGAGTCCCGAAAGTGTTTCCCCTTGTACGCTTCCAATCGCATTTCTACCACTCGTTTGACAATATAACTGGAGAGTGGTAACGGAAAAGCATCAAAGAATCGAACCAGAACTTTGGAACCCGTTCTCCACATCTCCTCGTCCCAATTTTTCTCTGTTGTTCTACCGGTTGCCGAGTACACGCTGCGAACACACGGATTTACACCCCCAATAAGTAGCGAACCGACAACATCACTATTGTTTGCCAATGCAGAACAAGATATGTGAGAAAGAAGAAAGCGTCTTCAATTGGTGTTAATTGTGGCAACTTACGATTTTCCAATCCACACTGCATACTCCATAAAGGTGAACGATTCAAGGGACCCAACGTAACTTTCCAATGTGTTGGAGTATTCTTTTCCGAACCATGCTGTGCATAGTTGGAGTGTATGTTGCAAATGAGCTTCGAGGATTTTCATTGGTATCCGACAGGAAATAATATCAAAATGTCGATCGATCAGGGTAAGTGACAGCTTCGATCGATCACCTTTGCGAATGTAGACCAGCACGTTGGACAGTAGCTCATGGTCTTCGTCTGATATATTTTCAATCGAAAGTTCATAGCTAGGAGTAGTTCTATGATACCAAGGCAAAAATGGAAGAATGAGATTGACTATCAAACATGACATCACGAGGTGGATCATCCATACAACTCAACTGTTCTTGTAGTATTCCGTTCGAAAGAGCTGAAACACGCTCTCGAATCTGAAATCTAGCTCGAAGGCGCTCTCTTTCTCTTTTGGAATTCCAGCATTTTCGTCCGTCGGATGCATTGTGTTGCTTCATCCTTCATCTTGTGTACGGCGAACGAAACTTGAAGTAGTAGTAGTATATATAGTACTATTGGGTATGAAGTCTTCCCAGTACAGTAAATAGTCAGCATCAGGAGTTTGAAGTTACAGTAAAGTTTAGCAGTGAGAACTGAGAAAGCACCTCTCGCTCGTCTGTTTGTCACACGCAGACGGGACTAAGATATGCCTTGGGATTTTCCGCCCGTACATTACGTCACCGTGTACCGCAGTAGGTTTCGTACGTGCTATACGTGGAACAGATGCTTCCAACCCATCATTGCGATGATTGATTGAATCGACTTCAAGGCATCAAAGAAAGCGAACCGTAGAAGACTTCAATCACTCGTCCACTGTAAGATGCATCAGTCTTGAATCTTGACCCCTACGCTTCCCACAACTTAGAAGCGAAGAACACCAATCAACATATTACATTCTGTTGGACCAACATTTCTTCACATCTGAATTCCTGACCTGGGATTTACTGACTTCGCAAAACGCAGTCACTTTATGAGCAACTGTTAGGCAGTCTTCTCGCCTTTATCAGCTACGAAGAGGTTCAACGTGGATTAGTCTACACTGGTCCGTGAGGCATTCGTTCTCAAATATTCCCGCACAAAGGATACAATAGAAGCTTTCGATTTCCAATGAACGGAGTAGTCAAAATACCGCTGACGAGACGCCGGTCCAACACCTCAGTTGGATCTTCGGGTTCTCAAGAATCTGATCACAGTCTTTCTCATCCCAATGTTGGGACAACCTCTAATGCACTCCAACCTCCCATATTAGTATACCATGAGAGTGCACGTTCCATCGTCTTTCGGGATCATTTGAGAAGAACAGCTGATATCGAACAGAGTGAAGGCGGATATGCTGCAAGTAGCTCCCCGGAGCCGTCGCCTACAAACAACAATCTAGAAACCAAAGCTGATCACGAGCATTTTGAAGAAGACTATTCCATGGAACTCTCTGTTATGAATGCTCTTTTTGGTGGTTCTGGATCGGGAGGACTTATGAGTGAGCGCATTACCATACAAGGATTCACTCCCAACATTGTCCCGCTGCCTCTTTTGGAATTAGGACCCAATGATGAGTTTTTGCCGCTATTGGACTCCCATGATCGAAACCTTTGGACATCAGCGGAGCGAGAAGTTGTGGATCTGCTTGACTCTCAATGCGCCGTGGTCAAGACTATCAAGAACAACGATTGGACAGACTTCCTTCATCGATTCAAGTCACCTCATCCTCCAAAAGGTCAATATCCGGATGATCACAACGACATTCCTCCGAATGGAGATTACAAATTCAATAGTTTCGTTACCAGTACAACGCTGCTACCAGCGGGTGGAAAGAAGATGAGATGTTATGGAGCTGCAGCTGTCTATACATCCGGTATCGTTTTTGCCCTTCCCAAGTTTCCAGATGCCGAGGCAGAGAATAAAAAAGTCGAAAGTACACGAACGGTAAGAAGATCAACTCTAGGTGCAATTCTGTGGTAAGCATGATTTTACAGCCCTACTCACGCATTGCTCCTCTGATCATAGTGGAGTTGGCCATCGGGTTACTCGGCAAAGACTGAATTCAATGTCGATTCGCGTGGAAACCTAATCAATGGTCGGCAAGAGGCCCTTGTTCCCTTATCAACTTTACGTGAATACAACAATGACTATTTGACAAAAGAAGACTATATGATTGCTGGACGTGTGGTGAAAGGGGGTCTCCAAACGGTGCCATACAACGAAGCTTTTGTTCGTGTTGGTGGGGTAGGACGTCTAGTAAATGGAAAAGATGTCGCCAGCGGCCTTGATACCAGACGGTCGCTGGAGAAGGGGGTTGGACTACCAGTGGCGCTATTTGTGCGGACTGCAACATTTGGTCATTTGATTTCGCTTCTTCGGACGAGAGCCAGGTTAATGCATGTTTGGGGCCAAGCACAGATTCAAGATATACCATTGCTGTACATATCTCCCGCGCAAGGTATCCGTGTGCTCACTGCAAAGTTACAGCACGAACTACTGCAAATTGCTTCCCGGGGTCTCAATCCCTTCCAGAATCCTCTTTTGCACAAAACAACCATTGATAACACAGATGAAAAGCAGCTCGAAACAAAGTTAGAAGAACTGATTGATCTTGATGGCTCCATTCGCGAGATGCTTACTCCTGGGGAATGCGTCCGTCTCGCTGGTGGATTTGGTGCCACCGACGAAAGTATTGCCCAAATTCTAAATGATGCAATGATTCAAGATAAGAACAGTCAGTTGGCTGGAGAACTTAAATCTGAATCACATCGACTCCAAGATATTGTCAATGAAGGACTTGCACATGCGGTTCGAAGTGGTGACTATTACACCTCTCGGCAACTTCTGATCCTATATACTTTAGTAGCTTCAGAGGGACATCAAATGGATGCAGATGAAAAACCCAAAGTAGCTACGTTGACCGAAAGTGGCCCAGAAGCGAATATTCTAACGAGGACAATGTCTTTGGATTCGGGGGCTCTGCTGCTGAAGCGACAAGCGCAGTCTTTTGGTCTCACAATCAACGCAGAAAATTCAATACTCCCGCCCCGCCCACCTCCCCCACCACTTGATACAGATCGACTTCGTAGTGCGACCAATTCAGATGGTCTACTTGCAGTCCTTGGAGCGGCGCAAGTTCTCAAATCAATGCGTGACGGAAGCGCTAAGCGCCATACCGAGGAGAGCTTCCTTGCAGTTGAAGAGTAAGTCTTCTTGAACTACCATGTATTTATTAAAATGAATCGATCCCTTTGCTGACCTATTTTCTATTCCAATCAGGTGGTGCGAATATGCAGAACAATCAATGGCTTTCCGTCTCGCTTCTTGGAGAGACCAGCGGGCGGCCCAAGGTGATCTTAAGATCGCTTTCCAGAAAGACAGCAGCTTCATGGCATTTGTTAGCAATAAAGCTATCTCGAACAGGAAATCGTTTGCCAAACAGCTCCGTGACGCAGCCAAACAGACCGATTTTAGCGATGTGCGATTCCTTACAGCTATATTTGAGATGATAAGCAAGATGCACTCTCCGTGTCTTCGACTCGAGCTCTTGCAATTTGTTCTCGGTCTTGACAACCGATATTCCATTGCTCATGTCAAACGGTCCGTAGAACTTGCTGCGACTTGTCTTTCAATCTCGGCAAGCACAACAGTATAATTTTAAAAAAACGATTTGTACAACTATACGCTGTGAAATATTTATAAACCCCCCTGTTGTGTGTCTTCGCTCCAGAGGCCCTTTGCCATTTCCAGTATCCCGGATGAGAGGTCTGAAGTTTGGTAGTTTGAAGGTTCTTCAGTGGATGCTTCAGTCTCGTTGTAAAATGTTATCACTTTTTTGGCTTTCGCCTTCAAGGCCCGCGGTATCAAGAGAGATTTATCTGTACCAACAGCAGAAGTAGATGATATGGTCACACCCGAGCCATCTCGTTCAAATTTGTCAACTGCACTGTTATCATCGACACGAACAGCCTTCTTTACTCGTCTCAACAATCTTTCTTGATGCTTTTTGAATCGCTTTGTTGCTATTTTTTGTATTGTAAGGTAGGAAGTTTGGTCCTTTGGTTGAGCAACCAAAAAGTTGGGTTTGATGGGGCACGCATTGGTCAAGTAGAGTCGTATGTTCATTCCACCAGTTGGTTTCCAATGTTTGTATTCAAGATTTTTCAATCTTCCTTCCATTTCGGCAGGCACACGTATCGGCTTTGTCCCAATAGACGAGTCAATGCAATCATTCGACATTGGACTACCTTTTCTGCTCTCCTCAAGAGCATAGCCATATATGTCTCCTGTGTTTGTAAGGACGAGCGTGTAAAGGACATCTGCCGCCCCCTCGCCAATATCATTCGAAGCATCGACTCCAAAGCTGTTCATTGGAAGCCTCAATGCTGCAATACCAGTGGGGTGCGCTCTGCTTGATATTTCGGGCAATGTAAACGCTGAACTAGCAGCAATGCTTGTGCTTTCAGAAAACTTGAGTCGTCGAGAGTCAATACTCTCCAAGGAGTCAACTTGGAATCGAACCTTTGAAATGGGTCTTTGTAGGATGTGAAGACCATACGTTCCAGGGGTAGTATCGATTGTCAGGCAAGGCGAGACATATGTGTCGTTTCCTTCACTATTGGTGTCATGCACGACGCTTGTCACCAGGGACATTCCATCACTGAAAAAGCCTTTTTGCTTCCTCATCAGGGATGTGTCTTCAGCGCCGTATGTTATAGACCACTCGTTGATCGACCGGAATGGCATCCGTGCATCAATCTCCCACGTTTTCCCCGCAGATTTTGATGATACATATACAGTGGACTCCCGTTGCCAATCCGTTGCAATGGAGCTTATTGAATGAAACCCTTCTGTAACCATTTCCTGTGCACTTGGACTCCACTGAAAGGTCGCGGAATCATCTCTCAAGTCAATTGCGAAGAGAGAAGATCCCATTCCAAGTTGCGGTTGACGAAACTGTACATCCGTGGATAATGTTGGCCTCACATACGATGAAGAAGCTGACCACAAAACCATGGGATGGGCACTTGAAAAGTCAACCATAGATATGTATTTCAAAGAAGCAATATCATGTCGTGTAGAATGCAGTTTGTCCGCATCACCAGCAAGGTAGTGGTGTATGACATTCATATCTCCACGATTGGATCGAGACGACACGGCAAACTTTGAACCAATGAGGTGGTTCCCATACTCTGGATGACAAGTCAAAGAGGTTGGGTACAATGATAACGACGAAGTATGTAACGTGCGCATATCGACTCGATGTATTTCCTGGATCACGTAGTTGCCCCAACATACATCATCATCAAAACTGTAGTTTTTCGCCAAAATACTTTGCGCCGTGGTGGCTTTCATTGTTGCCAGTTGAAGGACGCAAATTGATGTCACTGTCCGTACAACGAAAGTGCACTTTTGCTTGGAAGCATCCCAAATTCCAGCTTGTTTCACCTCCAAGATGGTGTCTCCAAGATTCAGCTCGTTTGGGTAGGTAGTGGAAGCATGCCTCGCCAATCTTCTAAAATCTTTTTGTTCTGAAACTTTCTCGGTGCGAAACATATGACCAGCATTTTCTGCTCCATGTGGAGTTATTAAGTTTGATACACAAAGGCGATCATTGCAGTCTCCTTTGGGGTGAATCAGACACCAGCTAGCTTTACTCCTTGACTTCAAGCTGCAAGGAGTACAAGGACAACGCGATACAAGCAGGCAGTTTCCTTGACCTTGATTGATAATTGAAGTATCCTTTAGCATGGTATTCTTGATTGAATCATTCTTGACTTCCAGATCGCCCAAGGACGAAACTCCAAAAGGAGCCAAATAGGCAGGATCTGAAAAGAGACGTTCCACAGCGTACCTTTTCGAGTTCAGAAACCGATCTCCCAGTACCTGCGGAGAGTCAGATTTTCCTCCCTTGAAGCTACCAGGGATGAAGGGATAATTGTACGTTGTATAATCCTCAAGAATGTGCACCGTCTTGGTACTCACTTTGCGCTTTCGTTTGGTTGAAAACCGGTCGCTCTCCTCATCCCTCCAGTCGATTCCTTTGAAATCATCGGACAATAAACCCAATCGTTGTCGATGCAGAGGCATATTCGTTCGTCTTTTTCTATATTCACTCTCAGCGTCAAAAACATGATCATGTTCATCGGATCGCTGGTTTTGATGAACAAGGCGTCGACTGATTTGTTGCTTTTTGGTGTTCGATTGTTGTGCTGATGTGGCTGTTTCTAGCGGTTCCTCTTGTGGCTCTGGATCTTTAGAATCTTCAATCCGCTGCGTACAATCAGATAAGCTTTCTGTCACATTGTAAATTGGATAGTGGAACAGAAACTTTGCTCTGCAAATTCGCTGATGAGTACTTTCGATGCTGGAAGGCTTTCCTTGCGAAATGGCAGAAGCATCCATATCATATTCACTGTTCTGGTAATACACCAACGCGGGCGCACCGAGCTGTTGATATGTGACTTGGTTGTTAGTACAGCCGCGTTTCAAGTCATTCATGCTTGGAGTCCAGATTGTACATCACGAAGAGACTGGGTTTGAGGGAGACCTTTCCTTGTTCATTATTGTGGAAAGAGTGCAGATGAAGAATGATATATTTTGTTCGGGTGAGTCGGCATGAAAATGAACCGTACAAATGACAGACAGGAAGCGTCACGTCACGTCACGTCACGTCAGCGAAGGGGTAAAATATCGTTGGTCCTAAGCGGTATGTCGTTCCTTAGCCTCTCCGAAGTTGACCTTGCAGACCACGGCAGATTTTACACTTCACAATCAGGTGCTATCTGTGATGGTCGTCGCTGCAGCAGCTCTGGCTATTGCGGCTACACCTTATTGGTTGAAAGAATGGACGACTGCCCCACCTTCTTGGCTGGAATTTCCACCCAAAAAACATTTGCTTCACGTGCTATCATCGTTATGCTCTGGCTCCTCGTCGTAGAGAGAGCGGAGTAATGCATTGATGTAGCTACTTGTCATGATAAGACGGTGATTGATATTGCTGTTGGGGTGTGTTTACGGGGGTCTGAAGCAGCTGTGAGCGAGTACTGCGAGGCAGATACTATGGATCGGCGATGGCCGTTGGCTTTCGATCGCTCTATTACATTCGGGGGGATGTCGAGATTTATTTTCTCTAGCAACAGTTGTTTGTTAATCTAATTCTTCATGGTGTATTTGACCCTTGATCAATTACATGTAGATCGCAAATCATACACGATAGACTTCGGTACACGTGTACTAGTAGAACCTGTATGTACGAGTAGTCGTTTTTGTTGCCCGCCATGATGTCATCACGGAAACGTCATGTACAGTACAGTATCATGGCTAGTGCGTGGCACCAGTATTTTGATATTCCTTCTAACTGATCGTGCTTGCGAGGCCGAGCGGTTAGAGCAGCGTGCTCTGTATGATGGGAGCCAATGACGTAGGCTAAGTAGTGTTTAAGCGGTTGACGTCAGCATAATTAACAGAATGGAAAGAGCAAAGGAAAAGTATACGAAATGATGATTATTGACTACGTAGAAAAGTACCATACAGATCGGAAATCTTGGAATTCTTGACCTTCTCACTTCTCACATTATGATGTCCTTCCCGATTGCAACGGTCTCACAACATCAATTTGAAACGATTGAAAAGCAACATGGTTGAGCAAGTAGAACAAAAGAGATTGCGAGGGGGAAATGCTTCTCAAGTTGAGCAAGCATCGAAGAGAAGACGTCTAGACTCGAGCCTGGATGTGCTTTCGGATACCGCCGCAACAGCTTCGAAAGTTAATAGTGAAACATCCAAATCTGGACCTTCTCTTCAACCATTTCCGTACTTTTATTACTGCGATCATTCTCGAGTTGAAGATCCTGATCCTTTCAAGCCATTGACTGCTCCAGGAAGAGTCCCCAACTTCCCTGCCAAGATGATGGCCATCCTAAGTCGTCCAGAATATTCTGATATTGTTACATGGCTTGATCATGGCCGTGCTTGGAAGGTATTGAAGTCTCACCAGTTTGAAACTGAGGTCATCCCCAAGTTCTTTGAACATGCCAAGTTCAGTTCCTTCATTAGACAAGCTAACGGATGGGGCTTCCGACGCATCACTCAAGGAAAGGACAGGAACGCTTACTACAACGAACTCTTCCTTAGAGGACTTCCTCACTTGTGCAAGCAAATGAAGCGCCACGGTGTATCTGAGAAGCAAAGTGCCGATCCAGATCATGAACCAGATTTTTACAAGATTTCTGAGGAGCACCCATTGCCTGTTGAAGGGCCTGACGATGAGTCCATCCTCTTGCCTCACATTCTCACGGAAGGGCCTAAAGCAAGAATGCCAGTATTCTTCCACCGAAAGAAAACCACGAGACCTGTATCTCCAGATGTCAGCAAGACTGTTTTGAATTCTCAAACTTTCGCGGGATCGCCATCTCTCTTGAGTTACACTACTCATCCTCATTCGCCATCAATGTTACCGGCTGCGTCCATCGCTCCTCGAGCTATGCCAGTTCACCCAGTCGGCTTTCCAATGTCTCAAGACAACCACATTATGACATCGCTACTGGCAAGCAGAAATGGTCATAAAGATCATGCACCCGCGCGCATCAGTCCTCTCTTGCAGTCTTCAGTTGGTCACCAAATGACTGGACTTCCGATCACACCAAACTTGGCGCAACTCGATCCTTCCACTCAGTACGCAGCAGGATTTGCAGCCGCCGCCGCAATGACCCAAGCCCACTTTCGTTCTATCTTGGGTCACGCACTTGCTTCAATTCCTCCCACCGTGCCCAAGTAGGGGAAACGAAAAGGAATCGGGAGCATACAAAACTTTAGCGATAGAAAATACGATTATACAAGATAAATTAGTTCATTAGGTAAACTTAGGGAAGTCACATACGTTCAAACTTGTTTCCTTCGACAACCTTCACCCGAGCTGGTAGATCAACCTTTGGGTTTAGCGTGGAGTGATCCTCATACCAGTGGGAAACATTTGATGAGACCACACGAAAAAACTGACGATAGCCGGATGTTTCTTGAGGAAGTGCTTCATGAGGGGTACAATCGGTCATCCAAATGAGCTCCCCACCTCGTAGCTTTGTTCCCTTGCCGATAATGGGTCGCAAATGTTCACAGCCTCCATGTTTGTCAACAATCCCTGGGCAGTTCTTGTTCACAAGCGCGTCCCAAACTTCGCTAGTGTTGCTTACGCTGGAAGCCATAAAAATGCCTCCTTCGTATCGGTCAGGACCGTAGAACATACCGGCTCCCCACGGGTGTTCAACAGCTGGCTCAAATGATGCCTTATCTGGGGCATCTTGGAATACACCTGGGGACTCAATATGCAATCCTTCTCGACGCTGTGCCTTGGTTGCATCGACATAGCTTTCATGTACAGTCAAGTACCCAACTTTTCCAATCTCCTCACTCATGTATGGGCACTGTTCAATCAGCGAATGGTAGCACTCAAGATCGTCTAGTAGTGATTCCTTATTACCAAAGATGAATGGAAGCATATTGACATTTCGATTTGCTGGTGGAGGAAAGTCAACATGACCACAACGAGAAAAGGAAACAAAACCATCATCAAAACCTTTGGAAGTGCCGCTCGTATCTTCAAGCAAGTCTCGACGTCGCCACTTATCCCCAAGCCGACCATGATTGAAACGCATGCGAGTAAACCACACAGATTGTCCAACGAGCGCAGCTGGAATCGTGAGCTTAACATTGCGAGCATACTGGTTCGAAATGTATGTGTAGAGCTCTCTGACAATTGTTGTTTCGTGTTCCCGAAGCTTTTTGAGAGCTGACTGCCTGTCTCGAGTTCCACTCAGGACTGTTTTCAAGACGCCATCCCAACCAAATACTTCGAGCTCAGCTGAATAATAGTCCTCCGCCAGTGCTGGGAGCATCACCATTTTTCTTGGATCAATGTCTTCTGCATTCGGGTGACTATCCATTCGGATGCTTGCTGTTCTCTGTTCATATACTACATTGCGGCGGGAGCCAACACGCCGGTCGTTTGCGTCCCGACTGCTTGGGTGAAATGCAGGTTGGCTTTCCTCGTCCATCTTCCAAACTTTGTCAGAATATGGTAAAATATGGTAAATGCACTTGACGCTTTGCTTGAGATGAAATGTGAGACCATACTTGGAAGCTTCAGACCCGCCAAGCCAAACGTGTATTGATCAATCCGACCACTATTCCAAACGAATCACAGTAATCCAGAACACTCTGTAGTAATCGTGGCGTGCACGTGTTTGATGTCGCATGACAGACACCATCTGTACTTCGTTCCTCAGTCACATCTGTTATGCTCCAATATGCTCGTTGTGGGATGGATTTTGTTGATATTGTTGTCATTACTACACGAAAGTAAAATAAAATGTGTCAAGCGGGAGACAGTGTGGGCGAGCGGTAGGAACAGTGAAGTGCGGGAGCTTCCAAAAAGCTCGTCTTGTCGACCAGTTGGACTCTCTACAAAATGTTGAGCGAAAAAACCCTTCGTTTGATTTCAGAGTGTCTAAATAAAAACTAAAGAAGTCTCAAAACTCGATTACTACGGAGTGTAATCCAGAAGTCTACAAGCTTAGACTCGATGCACTACTCTTCAAACTTGTTTCCTTTGATAACCTTTACCCGAGCTGGTAGATCAACCTTTGGGTTTCGCGTGGAGTGATCCTCATACCAATGAGATACATAGGACGACACCACACGAAAAAACTGACGGTAGCCTGATGTTTCCTGACATAGTGCTTCGTGCGGAGTACAATCAGTCATCCAAATGAGCTCCCCAGCTTTTAGCTTTGTACCTTTACCTATGAGCGAGCGCAGGTGCTCACAGCCACCGTGCTTGTCGACAATATTAGGGCATTTCTTGTCGACAAGGGCGTCCCAAACTTTGCTAGTATTGCTCACACTAGAGGCCATGCATATCCCCCCATCGTATCGATTAGGAGAATATCTACCCCATCCCCATGATGTTTCTTGCCCTGGTATAAACTTTGCCGCTCGTTTGGCACTTCGAAAAATTCCAGGAGTCTCAATGTGCAGACCTTCGCGTCTTTGAGCCTTTGTTGCATCGACAAAGCTTTCATGCACCGTTAGGTACCCCACTTGTCCGATCTCATCTTTATTGAATGGACATTTTGCAACTAGAGGATAATAACATTGGAGGTCTCTTGGAAGGGAATCCTGGCTTCCAAAGATGAATGGAAGCATATTAACATTACGATCCGCTGGTGGAGGAAATTCGATCGAGCTGAGACGCATGAACGCGACACCGCCAGCATCATATTCATTTGGATAGCCACGCCAATATTCTTGAAAGGATTCTATACGAGCGAGAATATCTTCGTCCTTTTCTTCAACGAGTATGGAGGGAAAGGTCAGCGTCAAGTGACTTGCGAATTCGTTTGTGAGATAGGAACGGATGAAGCGAACTAGCGTGGACTCGTGCTCACGAAGAATCTTTAGAGGCGAGTCCTTGTCTCTCGTCCCAGAAAGCACAGTGCGGATTGTTCCTTCCCAGCAAGAATATGGATCAAGATTGAAGACTTCTTCGGCAGTTGCAGGCAATATATCTAGATCTACCTCCGGGCCAGTATTAGAGTCTTTGCTTTGTAGGGTTTCGTCGTCACTGTTCATTGATGTCAATCAATATCTTATTCAGTATATGGCGGGCACGCAAAAGCATTTTATAAACGAGCATTACAGGTACATATATTGATAAACCGGTAGTAGCACGTTTGGAAAGATTGGATCGACTAGTCCGACTACGAGAATCAAAGCACCACTCAAACCACAAAACATCATCAGAGACAAAATAGAGGGTACCAGGTACCCGAACTCTGCAGCTCTGTCCAGCATGAGTCAGCCAGGCAAAAAAAGGCAAACGACGAGCCACATAAAAGGAAACGAAAAAAAGGCCAGACACGAAGTTCCTTCTGATGATTCTCCAGTTGTCGTCGTTAAAAATAAAGTGGAGGATGCCAAGTCTATTTCGCTCTCCCCCGACTTGAATGAGTTGTTGCATCCCATGACCGAACAAGAGTTTTTGGACCAGCATTTTCGTCAAAAGGCTGTTCACATTACCTGTGACCAAGTGGGAACTGACAATTATGCTTTGAAGCGGGTGTCGGATTTGAGGGAAGCCATGTTTGATCTGGATCCAGAAATGATTATTCGCGAAACCAGCAGTGACAATGTCTTCTTGTGGCTTGTGGACAAGGGCGGTAACAAGGAAATTCAAGATAGAAAAAGCAGTACGATAAGAAGTATCGAAATCAGTGATGTGGACACAGCCATATCCCTCCACAAGATTGCAAAACATGCGACATATTGTCGAGCTCCTCCTATGGTGGAGCAAAACCTCGTGGCAAGTCTGTTGAAGGCTACAGGTAAAATTTCACTCGCTTCAAATAATCTTTTTCATTCTTGTTGCTCATGTTTAATTGGTATAGGCCTTGGTTGTGGGCAATACGATCCATCTGGCGAAAGCATTATTTCTATGGGTAGAGGTGAGGTTGAGACCTTCATCTCGACAGAGAACCACCTGACGAATTGGCACTATGATTTCCAAGAGAACTTCACAATCCAGCTCTCTGGAACCAAACGATGGACTCTTCAACAGGGGACAATAAAGGATCCGATTCGCGGCTGCACTCCTCACTATGCCTCACCCGAGGCTGTGGAATCACAGTTGAAGGCAGCCCACTTGTTTGATCGCAAATTTCGATTTGGTTTCCCTGAGAAGGATGTTACAGCAGTTGGTAATGTACATTCCATCGATGTCAAGCCTGGCGATGTATTTTATTTTCCAGCTGGCATGTGGCACAAGGTAGATACCATTGAGCCAGGAGTTTCGATCAACGTGTCCCTAATGGCGAGCAACTACGCCTCCATAGCTAGCCAAGCATTACATCAGTTGATGTTTCAAGACGAACGATGGAGACAACCTGTTTTGAACAATAAAAGGGTTGAAGCAGTCGATCATCTCAAGGCACTCTTGAAGGAACTTCCATCGATGATCCAACGACTGGAACAAAGCGGCGGGGCCGAAGCTATCCTCCCTCCAGTCCTTAGACATCCGCCTAGTTTCCTTCCAACAGGAGACGAAGGGGGTGAATGGGAAGACTTTGAAAATGAAGAAAAAGATTGTGGCCCTGACGGAGGAAAAGAAACAGCTGGGGACGATGGCAGTGAAACGGCAAAATCGGTCGGGGACCGGGAAGAAGACAATTTACTAGATCCAACGAAGTTTGATAGTTTCCCAGAGAATTGGTCCTACAATTTGGAACTAGGCGAAACAGTCCAAATTTCGAGAAACCCTTTGGCGGCGTTACACAAGTTGACCGAAACAACTTCATTCTATGACAACAATGATGATGATGATGACAACGACGACGGGAAAGATATCTTTATCCTCAACGTGAACTACGCCGGTAATGAAACGCATCAGAGTGCCATCAGGGTAGTATTCCGAGATAATGATGATAGTTTTGTGCAATCGCTCTATTGCAACGAGCGACAAAATGGCGATGTCACAAAAACAATCAAAGTTTCAGAGAAGAATGAATCCCATCTCAAATTTCTGGTGTTTCATGGATATTTGCAAATTCTGGATTCTAGCTCTCGCTCAGACATGCCAGGGAAAGCGAATGCTACCAAGATTGTCTAGCGGAGAACTGAAAATTGGGACATGCCAACAGAGGAGAATTCGTCGTCGAAGTTGCGCCTTCTCTTAATTTCATCATTGTCTTGAGTATTGTCGTTAGCTGGCTCATTAGGGAAGGATGGGAATATACCTGTTGTTCTTGGACCATACAAATGAACCTGACGAATGTGTGTGTCTCGACCGTTTTGATGCATTGAAATTATTGATATTTGTATCAAATGAGTGCGAATTACTCTTCCACTTGTGTTTGCAGTTTCAGCTCCCTCTAAATCATCCAAAGGATCTGGTGGCGCCATTAGTGGTATGATCTGAAAGAAAAAGGAATGAATCGTTGAGACTTTTAACCCGCATGTGTTGTGAGGCGATGCTTTTGAAAACTTACACACCAACCGACTGGCTCCGTTAATTCAACAACAGTGTTGGCCGGAAAAATTGCTGGCGTCAAATCTTGGGTTGTCATACCAACTTGAATAGATAGTGTTTTCGGCGTGTAGCTCTCGTCCAGATTGTAGTCAAGATAGAGACAGACATGTGACAGGGCGACCCGTCGTCCAAAGTGGACCTGGATGGAGTGTGGCTGGCTTACTCCATCTGATTGCCAATACGTGTCAGTACTCTGGTCTCTGATTTGTTCCACGCCGTTTCCTGGTTTCGCAGACGAAAGTTGCCAACAAAGAGCTTCCTTTCCAATCTCACGAAGCCCGTACAGAGAATCCAAGTTTGCCACAGCAGAAATCGGCAAAGTTGGTTCTGTTGGTCCCCCACCAGCTCCTTCCTCGCCCCCTTGTTCATCCGCATCTGAAACCTCCTCATCTTGATCAGCCTGAGCTTCTTCTTCTACAACATTGTCATTCGTTTCGTCGTCGGCATCCATGGTCCAAATGTTTCAGTGTGGTTTTGAAACTTACTGAAACTCTTGAGTTTTCAAATTATCGCGTCCGTCCTGCGATGGTGATTGGTGGGACCCAAGACAACGAAAAAGGTGGTGATGAAAATTTAGTTGCTCACGTCATGAGACCTCATAGTAGCCAAACACAAGTAAATAGTAGGTACAGTAGGCCCGTATTACTTCTCATCCAAAAACTAGTGGCTTTTCAGACAACTTTTGTAAAAATTACTTGCCACAACTACTTTAGTCCTATTGCACAATTTAGACTCAGCGAATAATACTGAAACGACTTCAAGCAGGCACGTAGTCCCCCTTTTCCATACTGAAAACCATTCCTCTCTTTTGAACTGTAATCTGATGATTGCTTTTGACAATCTCGACAAGTTTTTCCTGACTCAAGATTTTTAGCACACTTTCGTGGACCCAAAGTGTCTCCCCAAACGAAATCAGCATGACTACGAAATGATAGCCATTGGATCGCAACATACCTTGGACCTCGAGGGTAGGTCGTTCTACCGTGACAATGTTGATATTGTATGCATCGAATGGAAAATCTTTCAAAATCAAAGCCTCAGCTCCCTCGACATCGAAGGACATGTAATCTATATTGCTCGGAACGCCAAAATTCTCAAACAGAGACTTTATGCTGATTGTGTACCTTTTCTCGATGTGTGTATCCTGGTCGGCCTTGTTGTCCAACCCAATAATCCCTCCCATGTGTCCATTTCCAAGAGTAACGTCGACAAGAGTGCCATCTATATTACCTCCAACAAAAGTTCCGGCGACAGCACATTTTCTATGAGCAAGTCGAAACCAATACATTGGGTTTGGTTCTAATGGCAAAACATAATATCCGCAATTGTGAGAGGATTCAGGCGCACCGCACAGCAAAACCTGACACACTAACAGCAATCACAAGGTGCCGTACCGATACATAGTCCATTCCATCCACCGTCTTCTTCCAACCGCAGCGTATTAGAAAGATCCACAGCGTCGTTAGCAGCCAAATCAACAAAGAAATGCGGGGCATCGTTACTTTTCCCAAGCTTGGAATCGAGTTCTTTTGAAATTGCCAGAACAATCACATCTTGATGAACCTGGCTTCCGAAATGGTGCAGTCGGATGTCCTTGAAATTTGTTTTCAGGGAATCTAGAGAATCGTTTGGGCCATGATAGACATAAACAGGATGAAAGCCAGTCTTTTCATCTGATGTGTGTGCAATTTGCGTCGTAGGTTCATGCTGTGGACAATTACATGTTGGGCTCTGCGTGAGCGAGCGGCTCTTGTCTTCTAAAGCAGCGTTTCGTTTTTCGAACTCGGAACGAATAAGAAGAGTCACCAATACAACAATGACTGCCCAATGCGGAAAGTGGCAACTCTTTTCTTGCGTTGTCGATCGCCTTTTTTGTATCTTCATTGTCCTCGTTTTATTTTTGACCAACTTTTATTTTGAACCGTTTTGCGATGGTGTTGAAATCCAACGCGCACGGCTGGCGTGATGTCGCGCGATCCGAGTTTCGAACGCACATTTGATGGTCCAGTATCCTGGGCAGTGAGACCTTGATTCTTTCATGAGACTCAGCCAGTATAGCTGACTTCGTTTGTTTACGATGTTGTTGCCCTGAAAACTTGTGTGTGGCACAAAACTTGTCTCTAAAACCTATCTTCTACATATTTTAACTTTTCTACACAAGAACCACCACCAAGACCACCCACGCTCTATGTAGTGTATTGTGACGAATATCGTTTCATCTTTCTCTCCACTAGTAGTCAGGGTGGTTTGTCAGGTCCACCACACTCTGTAGTCCAATAGACTTTGTAATCTCTCCTTGAAGGATTTGGATGATCCTTTTGCAAGCCATGACTTCTTTTCTCTTTCGGGTGACATCCGCAAGCAAGGAGTCGTGTTCCATCGAAAGATCATAATATTCAAGTTCAATCCCAGTCACCCTTTTTTCACAACAGCTTTCCTTGAGTATCTTGTTTTCTCGGAGAAGCTCCAGATGCTCGTCGATGGCTACCTCAAGTTCGCATTGCATCATGTGTAGTCGCAAGTCAGGAACAACAACAATTGGGGTTGTACTTGCACCCTCGTTGTCCGTCTCGATGCTATGAGTAAAGCTCAACTCGTCGTCACGTTTGTGAATTGGTATATTTGCACGATAATTCATTTGTACTGCTTGTTGGCTGTACATCTCTGGGTTAAATCCATGGTCATCTAGCATGATCAGTGAGTGCTAACCTCGCGTTTCATGGATTTGTGTATACTCGGATAATTGCGAGCGCAGAGTGTCCCTGAAGGCGTCCAAAACGGACGAAAAACAGTACGGTGCACGTAAAGCGTTGAGTTTGGCGTTTTGAAGATTGTATCGAAAAAACTTGGCGACAATTTCTCCTCCCAAAGAAAATAATGAAGCATGCCCTTTCAAGAGTTTGTCAATAGCGGGTTTGGACTATGGACTCCTGACTGCACCCATGTAAACAGAGTCAGGAAGCAGAGGCGAGAATTCGAGTCGGTATTGAGCCAACAAAGCGTCAATTCTGAAGAACGAGAGTCAAACGAACTACGAGGGCACGACGAAGTCGGCGAGGATCGGGACCTTGAAGACATGGCATTGTCGTTGGTTGAAAACAGAAATGATCTACTTAAGCACTTGGCGAAGACCGTGGAAGCAATGAAAAAACTGGAAGCTGAGAACGAAAAAACCCGATCAGAGAATGATAGAATCCGAGCAGAGAATGATCAATTGAAAACTGAAAACGAAAAGTGGAAGTCTCATGTCGAGAGCATGATTACAGACACTCGAGTGTCGCTGGAAGAAATCAGGAGACAGGCAGGTGAAACTGTACGGCTCCAGAAGGAGAACGAAAAATTAAGGAACGAAAACACTTACCGTCATCTAATAATGCAACAGATGAAGAAACGATCGGAAATGGAAGCCAAGACAGCCAAGACAGCCAAGAAGAACACATCAGTCTTCGATATGTTCGGTCCATGTGGATAGGGAAGTCAAATGAATACAATAGGGACACGGAGGTTGGTCTTTCAAAACGAGAAGGCTCCTGTCGATGACGAAACATGAAAAAGGGCCAGCCCGAAGCCGTCTTCTTGTAGATAAGTGATACCAATCATCGATATCAACTAAATTCTACCTAGCTAACAGCATGAATGGGCTAAGCCGTGTAGCCTCAGCTTGGGGCTTGTCAATGTTACTGAAAAATAGTGAGCTTTGGGCTTCAAAGTTCAAAACTATTGTTCAACATTTCCCGAGACATAAGTGCATCGTTGTAAAAATCTGTTTGTTGCTGGATTCCAGGAAGACGGTAGTCTAGTGTGTCAATGTTTCGGATCCAGTCAAAGTGGAACCGTGTTCAGAGTTGATTTGGTTTTGGTTCGTGAATGGGATGGAAGTGACCAGCCAAAATGAATCACGACTAAACGGATTGGATGAGAGTGAGATTGATGAAGAATGAATGATTCATTCATTCGTGACCGCGCCAAGCACATTATCAAACTAAGACATAAAAAAATAGGTCTCGAGACTCTTTGAAAGTAGTACCAAGCTTCAACGCTCAAAACCAAAACGGAGACGGAATCGCCATGTCCATCGACTTGTACCCACCATTTATTAAGCAAGACGATCTCTCTCCAGATGAAGGATTCGGAGCAGACATAGATGAAGATTGTGAGCTCCTCAATGGTGCAACTAAAGGGTTCGGAGCAGATGCAGATACCTGCATCGCATGCCTGGGCGCCAAAGACGCCGTCGCACGCTGGAAGCTTGCTCGACGATACCAGGAACTCTACGATAAGCCGCTGACAAAATTGATGAAAGACGAGTTTTCTGGTGATTTTGGTAGAGCCATGAAGATGCTTGCCATGCCAATTGACGAAGCTGAATGCTACATGTTGAAAAAAGCATTCGAAGGACTGGGATGTAATGTCAAGGTGATCTATTCCATATTGGTTGGACGTAGTAATGACGAAATCAACAGAATCAAGAAAAACTATTTCAAGCTTTACACCAAAGATCTTGGAAAACAATTGGCTAGTGAACTCCACGGTGATATGGAGCGGCTTGTCTTCAACTGCTTCCAAGCCGGCGAGGAACCTTACGACCCACAGTTTCACACGGAAGAAAAGGCGCAGGAGGATGCCGATGAAATCTATGAGAAGGGCCAAGGAAAGTTCTTTGGAACGGATGAGAAGAAGATCTTCAAGATCCTTTGCGCGTCCCCCCCTGAGCACATTGCAAATATTGACAAAGCATATGCTGAGAAGCGAGGCTACACCCTTAGCAAGGCCATAGAGAAGGAATTGAACGGTAACGTGCGCGATGCAACCATTCATCTTGTTGGTATGAAGACTAAGCCATACCACAGTGCAGCTGCAATGATCAAGGAAGCATGCAAGGGAATCGGAACTGACGAGCTGGTGAGTTTTTTTTCAGGTTTTGCGTACCCCCCAGTGAATGCCACGTTCTCACTCTACAGTTTCTTGTTAGTTGTTGACAACTTGTATTGTCCGATACCAATATGTTCTTAAGGATGTCATGGCAGCCCATATAGAAGAATACGGCAAAACTATTCATGAACGCGTAAAATCTGAGACTAGTGGCAACTACAAAGAACTGCTCTTGACAGTACTCAATGCCGTGTGGCCAGAAGAAGGATAGGTTACCCGTGCACCAAAGGGTCATCAATAACAACTGAGTGTACTCTGATCTTTGCTTTTGCTGGAAGTAAATTTTTTTAAAAATTATTTTTTCAGGAACATGCATTTTCTCTTCTTTGTATTTCTCTTGTATGATTCCGAAGGCTTGAACTTCCATTGCTATATTGTCACACCGTCAAAGTCTTCTGGGCTTGAAGTCGGACTTTGAAAGTAATTGTCAACTATCTTGTAGGACTATTCATAAACAAAATGATATGTTATATTATTGGTAATATTTACAATGCTCTATGTATTGCCTAGCCCTAGCGATGTTTGGAGAGAGGATTATGGTGGAATCATGCCCGCAATGGCTTCGCTCTCAGCCCGACGTCCTTCTCTGTCATTTCGTCTTTGAAGCATAAACACCCGACCTAGCCAAGTAGCAGCGCGTACAGCTTGATATCCAAGGAAGATCTTCCAAACAGAGATCAAATTGACAGACAGATCCCCAGCGAGGGCTTTTGCCTTGACCTTCAACATGAGGTATGGGACCGCAAAGAAGTATGCTCCATACATTTTCCCAAGAAAGCCCAAATCCTTTTGACCCATGAGCAAACCTTCAGAACTACACAAAACACCATGAAGGCCAAAGAAAGCCAACAACAGCGGAACGACACCATTCACCAGTGAAATGACAGAAGGATCAGCCGTGAAGAATCCAGTCAGCAGTGGAATGGCGCTGACAGCAGCCATCATTCCAGCACCAAACACGCCTCCTGCCTTCAAAAAGCTCTTGGATGTCTTTTTCAGGGCATCCGATCGCTCCTTGCTGGGAGGTCTCTGCGAAATTGCTGGAAGGAAACTCTGGGCCGTCAAGCTCAGAGAGTCAGCAATCGGACAGAGGCAATAGAAAAGGCTGACAATAACTTGTTGGGCAGCCATGCTGACAGTACCTAGGGAGGAAGCAACCACGTGACTCATGGCAACATAGCCCGAGACACGACCAACTTGCGTTGTAGTTACTGGGACCAAATAGGGTGTGAACTTGGTTCTGGTCTCTTTCGATGGTGGCTTCAATAAATCTCTTGCTACAAACTTGTTTTGCAAGAATCCACGAGCAGAAAAGCTTTCGTTGGAGGATGCAGTCTTGTTCGCGGTGGACTTATTGGGGCGCAACTTGGACAAAAGCTTGGGCAATCGAGACCTTTTGATGTGAGTTTTCAGTGAGAATTGCTTCAAGGATTCTTGAAAGCCTCGCTGTCTGCGTTGACCTTCATCCGTGCTTGGTTCTCCAGTCATTTCCAGAATGGCATTTGACAAGTTCATGACCGCTGGCTTCTTTCCTGGCTTGTGCGACAACCATCGAACAAACATGGCGACTCCAACGTATTGCGAAAAGACAGTGGCCCATGCAGCACCAGCCGCACCGCCTATCCAAGGATTACTGCTACCCACAAAGAAGGCATCTCCAAGAAAGTTTGCAACCGCTGCGGCAACGAGAACGTACAAAGGGCTCTTAATATCTGCAACAAGAAACAAAAGCAAACAAAGGTTAGACATTGGAATTGAATGCCACGTGATCAATATTCTTTCTCGGTTCCACTCGCTCACCTTGCATTCCCAAACAGGCTGCTTGCGTGCTTCCAATAATGGCAGCTGCCGGCATGCCGAGTGCACGGATGCGCACGTACTTCATAGCAGCGGAAAAGACAGCAGGACTGATCGAGTCGTTTCCAATGATTGCTCGCAACAAAGGACGTGCAAATGTAAAGAGAATGGCTCCAAGTCCGGCTCCGACGTAGGTACTGAGTTGCATGGCTCCGACTAGTGTCTTTGTGGTAGATGGCTTGTCAGCCGTAGTTCTATCGCTTTCTTGTGCAGCAGCAACCAGATTGGTGGTCCCCGTGTACATGAATGCAATAAGAAGCGCTGCGTAATCAGTCACTGCCACTGCCGGGTTTAGGGCTGCCTGTTGCACAGTCCCTGAAAAAAGACCGACTGCAGAAGTATCAATCAAGGAAAGCAGAGGCCCGCATAACCACACACCAATGGCAGGAATGGCAAACTTGAGAATCTTCATGACTGAAGGCGATTCAATCTTGGTAGTGGTCGTCACCGCCTCACCAACTACAGAAGAAGCTGGGAGAATCTCTGGAATCTCATCGACAACCAATGGAGTGGCAATTCGAGAAGTGGAATTTGACGTTTGCGCAAATTCGAGTTGTTCCACCAAATCGGGAGACATGGAGGCTTCAGCTTCGGCAGCTGCTACTCCAGAAGCTTCCAATACTGCCTTGACATCATCACTCAACATGGTACTGGCACTGGTACTGTTGCTAAAATCAGCGTACTCGGTTCCTGATAGTACATTGTCCGAACTGCTGGAAGATAGATCCAAAAGAGCCATTTGTTCCTCTGTTCGTTCCTTCGCCTGTTCCGCCTTTTCCATGGTAATCTCGACTGGGAAAATGTCTGCGGTTTGTTCTGCAACATCAAAGACGATATCAATGTCCTCTGGTTTTGTATTTTCAATAGTGTCCAACACAAGCTCTGTCTGTGCTTGTGCATCCAATGTTCCAGTACCGGTATTTTCTTGTACGAGTGGAAGCTGGACAAAGGATTCCTCAAAGCTGTTTTGTTTGAAATTCACTTCAAATTCATCCCGCGGCTCAATTGGCTCTGCCAGCAATCTATCGTTTCTCAGCGAAAAATCTTTTCGTTTGTTGGAAGTTGTGATGCCAGATGCAAGGTTGATGTGTGTCCTTGATGTAGTTGCAACGGGACCAAACCCCTGGCTGGAGCCCACAAGGTTCGCCAAAATCGTAGCCAAAGGTAATATCATTGCAGGATGTGTACTCGTGTATATATCTAATGTTGTATCTGTGTTGTGGTATTGTCTGGGAGGCGAGGAAAGTGGGAGGTTAGCCAAGGCCACACACACACACACACACAAGAAATCACAGAGTTTTTGGTTCAAGAAAAACGGGAATTTCTTCTCTCGAAATCGGAGGAGTCAGTCATCAGTCGTCATCCCTTGGCAGGCATTCGTGTAGACTGTACGCAAATTTCAGTACCAGGCAACTGGCACCCTCGCACCATCGAAACTGCAAGCGTCCCAGAGAGAAGTTTGATTCCACACGGAAACCGGAATACATGAATGAAAGACAAGCAGACAAGCAAATCCATCAATCAAGACGAAAACTGCAGCCTGTGTCGAGGCCCACTGTTTCTCGTCTCCTCCATTGAAGCACTCCATCCTACAACAAAATAATTTCAACACTCACAATAAAGAACAATTTGACGTTTCTTTGTTTGTTCGTTGTTGGATTTTTATGATTTGGTGATTGATTGATCCAAGGATTTCTTCCGCATTGTGTTTGACAAGCAGTCGTACAGTATTTCCTGAAAAATGGCCGCGCGACCTGAGAGGTCGAAAAAGGGAACCTCCCTTGAGAGGACCATGTGTGATACTCCTACCAAGTCTTCTGCGTAGAATTGTAGGTTGCTGTGTATCTTTTATTGAATAATAAATCACTACCTAAGAGGTCGAAAAGGTACTTGTCCCCTTTCGTAGGGACTAGTGTACTTTTACGTAGGATTATTCACATCTCCATCATTTTTTTGGTCACTCCCCTTCTCTGCAAGAAATGAGAACTGTACAACGGTTGAGTGACGCAAAATATTAAAGTACGTGATTTATCGTAAAGAAGCGCATTCTCTGTTCTCTGCCTCCTGTTTCCGGCAAGGAAATTGACTACGCACTGTACCAAATACCATGCTTTACCGCCTTCTCTTGTTCTTTGCCTCCTTTCTTTGACACGGAAGTTGAACTCGGCAGACGGAGTGACCAGAGTTTTTTTGGTCGAAATTCAAGGAAGAGAAAGGACCAAAACGGACGGAGTCTCTACCAGTTGGCATGATTAAAAAAATACCGATGTCCCCTTTCACTTGACCTGGTGGGAGTAAGTTGGAAGACTGATCACTCCCATGCTTCATTCTTGAATACCCTGTACAAGATTCAATGGTTGAACACCTGCACTGGACAAAAAAATGGATCCTTGCCGCTCCGACTGTACTGTCAAAACCCGTTCCTTAATGGTTGAATCTTTAGGTTATTCCAACGCCGTCATGCGCTATGCTAGCTAGACCTTTCAATTGGGCCACCAGCGTAGTTTCTACTTGAATTGTTGAACCATTGCTGCAATATTTCTCTATGGATTCTCCTCTATTTGATCCTTCTCAGTGGCTGCTTTCCTTGCTCGCACCACTTCCCATTCCCTTTCAAACTTCTTTATTTGCTTGGTCTTCAAAGGTATCTTTGATGCAATCGCCATAACTGCATTAGCATTTATCCTCCCTGGTAGCTCCCTGAAATATGCCAACATATCTTCAAACCCCATCTTCAATAGCTTTTGTTGGGACTGACTTAGCAACGCCAACATGACTCTGTATATTATCTTCCATCCTTCTCCTAAAAAGGAATCCCAAACTCTCACTACCAAATCAAAGTTGAACGAGCTCGTGTATTGTGTTAGCAACCACTGAGTGGCGTACATTGTGACATGAATATGTTCTTTCTTAAAGTGTCTTGCCAATCGCGGAAGATGCAGATAGGTCAACTGCTCTGCCACATGCAAAACCTTGTGGGTTATTGCCATACCTTCTCTGAACAAACCCCGCATGTGACAAGGTTCTCGATTCATTACTCCTGTATTCACACAAATAAAGATAGACATATAGATGTAAAGTCAGAAAACCAAGAAAATGAAACAAACAACTCAATCATCATGACAATACATGTTCCGGCCGGTAGAAACGCACCTACGAGAACCCAGAAAGCTTCTTCTTCACTCAATTGTGTCAAGAACATGCCGGCTATAAAGTTCATCCCCTGGCAATAGCCAACATCACGATCATGATAGCTATACGCCCGTAATACTCGCCGCAACGCTGCTTGTCCCCCTGGAGTCAGAGTGGAATTCATGCTATTTGTGACTCGCTTTTTCGCCCCACCCGATGCTGTAAACTCCAAATCGACTTCCAGACTTAATATCGTAGCAGCCAATTCTGGATCTGCAACGCCTCGAACAACATCGCTGTCCGAAGTGGAAGCAGTACTATCCGTGTTGTGTTGTGCATCATAAAAGAGTTTGTGTTTTGGATATGTACGGTGAATGTCACGGTCAATAATATCCTGAATATGTCTAAACGCCCGAGTGGAGGCAAAGTCTTCTTCTGAGTCTGTGTCAACTTCAATGATGGGATTGGTCTCTTCTTTTGGTAAAAAGGAAGACGACTCGGAAGCTGTGGGAGATGTCTTCACGGAAGCTTCTTGCATCTTTTGTGAATCTGCAATTTCTCTGTAAGAGGCAAGCATTAAAATTGTCGTTTTCTTGACGATATCTTCATAATACCCAGGTTTTTGTATCCCCCCTGCCAATAAAAGCCAAACTTCACCACGCTTTGACTCTGGAATGCCCTTTCTCAAACGTTTGATAAACTTCTTGCTGTTCTGCTTGGCCTTTAGAGTTGTGCTGTCCCAAGCAGCAAGTTGCATATCCCACTTTTTCTCCCGCTTTATGGTTTTCTGTTTCTCTGCCAAAGTTGTGGCTCGAGGTCGCACTGCACCATCGACAATATTCTGGCAAACGCGTCCATCAGAATCAACATTCAAAATGAAGCCAAAGTTATCTAGCTGCAAAGGGTACTTCTTTCCCGGATATTCCTCTGAAGGACTGTATTCTACCTCCGTGCCTTCTTCTGACGACTGAAGAGACACCTGTCTATCCAATTCTTCTCTAGGTGGTGGACTACTCATTCTAGGAAAATAGAAACCAATGCTATTCGTGTTGCTTTTGTTATGAACCACCACCAAGGAATTTCAATCAGCACTCAATCCCCAGTGCTAGCACTACCGCAGTAAACAGTGCCTGCAGCTCCTGTCTAGAATACTTGCGATTGCAATGAGGCTTTTGCGTCGCCACTCTTTCCTCCTTCGTTGGATGTCAATAATTCAACTGTCAATATTATGGGTTTTCCACCGTTCTTGGGCACCGTTGGGCGAATGAGTGTCTGACGGACTACAGTACGGGGGGGGGGGGCGTCCGGCGCGAAATCAGATTGGAAAAAGTGAGAAGAGTACAAGTCTATTTTCATTTCTATTTTAGTACAGTACCTGTCGTCACAAAGAAAAAAATGTAGAAAGGTACCGGTAGATGGCGCTCTGCTTGAGACAAGGGAGAGTTCCATCCAGACTCACTGATTCATGGAACCCTGGGGTGTTGAAGTTTTCAAAAGTTGCCAATGCAAGCTTTGCTGAAATTGATCCCGCTCGGCCCAAATCCTCGTGTCGTTCATTGGGAAATTCAAAAGGACCTTGCTTACTACCGAAGAGAATTCTATGTTGAACGAAGCGTGTTGATAATTGAACATTGGCCTAGATCGATCTGTGAGTGGGCAGAACAAAATTCAAAATGGTATTTACGCACGACTACAGTATGCTACAGCACTCGTCGTTAAGAAAACTAGCCGGCAAATGCATTACCGCTCGATAATGATACTCGCAAGATACCGGTTTGCCTCGTCAATCCGAAGAACTAGGCGACAGGCACTTCCACCCCCCGTATACTAGGAATTCGCGTCAGACACTGCAACGTTGGTACAGCCGACACATTCAGCATAAAAAGAAGAACCAAAAAAGAATCCATTTCGATTATTTCGCTCTCGTCCAGAGTTGCATGCACGCAAATTGAAGACGATTGGTAGTTATATCATAGGACACCTTTTCTGGAGTGTTAGCCATGGATGCTTTGACCGAGGAGCGTTGGTGGTCTCCCGAATAGACGTCATCTTGAAGCTACGAGTGGGCGAATTACTCAGAGCTGAAATTATCCCATCCTTGTTTGGCATCAATTCTGAGGGTAACCCACGCCCATTTCCTTTGCAAGACTCGACAAAATCAGAAAAGAGTTCGCCTGCAAAAGCGAAAGCCACAGTGAGTGCATGACGCTGAAATGTGGATACACAGGAGAAAAGAGCGCGAGCTTCAAGCCAACTCCAGGTTCCAGTTTTGAATCTAAGTTTGCTTGATGGCTTGTTTCTTGAGGTCATCAATGTCATGTTCTAGACAAAGCCGAATCTGATTTTCCGGGATATTTGCCCGAAAGAAATCATGATCAGCGTACGAAAAAGTGGACATCCACCTCCAACTGAAAGCAAGTACGTCCATATCATTAGGATTCAGTCGTTGCTTGCTTTCAATCTTCTTGGTCTTGGTCTTCTTCCAAGTTGACGAAAAGGAAGCAATAGTTGAAAGTCACAGTTGGAAGTCTAATGGTCTCTCAAGAAAGCATCAGCGCCTTCTTCGGTGCAAATGCCCACAGTGCGGTCATTTGCGATGTCACTTTGCAAGGAGGAAAAGAGTGCTCGCGAGGCGTATCTTCGTGACTCATGTTCTAAGGCGGCCGATGAAATAAGAATGAGGAAGGTGCGGTGGTAAAGGTTTCTTCATTTGTGATGATGTTTATTATTGTTGGAGGGAGAGAGCTAAATCTTTCTTGGACGAGTTGGACCCAATATAAAATGCATCATTTTCATTGCATATGTAAAATATTTTATTTCTTTTTTTTTAAAATATTAATAGCACGTAAACTAGAATACAACGTACACTACACCTATTGATGTAAAAAATACACGTGTATTTTATTAATACTATCTCTAAAAAATGTGGGAAGATGTTGGCCCACGATTACCATTTTTTTAAACTTGGCCGTGTATTTGTGAACGAAGCTTGGGTTTCGTTCATCCTGTCTCCTGCCTACAACTACCTTACATAGATTCCAACTGGTATTTACGGACAAACAGTATTACAATCATAGAAAGAGCAGGTAAATACACGACCGCTCGATGACGGATCTCTCGAGATACAGTACAAGGGAGAAAAAGAGTACAAGTCTATTTCTATTTTAGTTTCACCAATTCTTTTAAATGAATTGGTGGACAGGATACGTCTGCTGCGATATGCTTGCTGTGGACTGCTGTTGAAACCAGCGTTTGCGTCGCATTGATGTTAAAGAAGATTGATGGGCCATCATTACATGATCCTTGAATTCTGACGTTTGCATTTGTGCCATACGTACTGGTTCGAAGAGCACACGAGCTTCCTCCTCCACACAGTTGTATAGCTCCAAACACACCCTTTGTGTATTTCCGTGCATCTCATCTGCATGGTAAAGTAGGTTTCTAAGAATATCTGAAGCCTGGTGCAATAACTTGAGGGCGTGCACCCGTGCTTCTTCATCCGGGTTTCGTTGGACCACAAATGCAGCCAATGTCCACAAGCAAAGGACAATTGTCTGTTCTCTGCGACATTCAGGAATAGACACTCCTGACCCGTTGTGGAGACCTGATTTTGAAGGCAAAAAAGAGACAGATCCAAGCACCTTTGGCTCAATGTCCAGTTCGTTGTCGCCAAAATCGTCTCGTTCGGATGAATGTTGCAAACATTCAAGAAGTGACTCCAGAATACAGATGCTCTCGTCTATTTTGCCAAGCTCTCGCAAGCAGCGGGCAATAGAGAAGGCAGCAGAAGTAGCGTTTGGATGAGACAGGCTGTGGAGCTTCGTCCATCCACGCAATGAATGCTGATAATGTAGACACGCTAATGACCAATAGCGAAGGCTGCTCTCGCTCGTCACAGCTTCGGTCGTAGGAATGCTCTGTGAAGCCGCCAGGCAGCTGGCCAGAACAGCAAAGGAATTTGCAACCAGCGAATGATTGAGAAGTGTGACATGATGATTGGGATCCATGATGCCGAGGAAGTCACGAAACAAGAGGGAGTTGAAATCTGTTGCGAATGTAGTCAAAAGCGAAACAGCATTTGTCTTCCTTTCGAAAAATAAAATCTGTTCTCTATCACGTTCGAATGAAAAAAGCTTGCTCATGTCTTCGAAAAAAGCAGCCTCGCACTCGGCCAAGAACTCGCCAACAATGTCGGACACTGTTTTGATCATAGCCTTTGCTTCTGACTGCATGGAAGTCATCGTATAGGTCCCTGCCAGATCTATCATGGCGCACAAGGTTGTAGGGTGGTGTAGTGGCAAATGTTCCTGGCATCGCAACACACAAGAGCTGAGAACATCACTCGCTTTTTTCCAATCGCCACTGGATGCAAAGTCGAATGCCAATCTCTGCATCATTTCGATTGGAAGACCTAACTGTCTTTCCACAACATTGCTTGACCCGTACTCCAGCCATCCAAGCATTCCAAGCGAAGAAGCTTGGTTGCTGATTGCAAGAGATCTTGTCAGAAGCATCGTCTTTATACTCCTCATTGACGGCCTGTATTCACTACTACCGTCTCGTCGAATAGAGAAGTAGTCTGGATCGATCTCCTCCAGCCGCCGAAGTAAGAGATAAAGACAGTAGAACGCAGGAAGATTCCTCGGGTTAGAAGTAGCTTCTTCGATGCCGACATCGATTGCTTCCTTGATGAGATCAATTTCGCGCGTCTTGGTTGCCGCCACTGTATCATAATTTAGTACCACCGAGGTTTTGCTATTTTTGAACGACGTTGAAGCATTGGCTTGTGAGAGGTTCTTCTCTGCAAGAATGGATTCAGATGCACCATCATAACTCGCGCGATTCTTTGCTGCTGCAGCTGCAATAGTGGCGATGCCTGCTCCGCCCATGATTGCATTAGAACCATTCATTTTTGAACTCCGGGCTGCAGCAGCTGCAGCTGCTGCAGCTCCAATGCCCACATCGACTTTCTCCCTTTCTTCCTCCGATTTTGGAGTTGAATTTCTTCCATTTCGCTCCTCGGCGACTGCAGCCGCGATGACCGCAATGCCCCCTCCCTTCGAAATAGCTTTGAAATTCTTCATCTTCGATCTTCGTGCTGCGGCAGCCGCTGCAGCTCCGATTCCTCCCACCGGTTTATTTTCCTCCTGTTTCTTCGTCGACATCTGACTTCCTCCATTGCGTGCCTGTGCAGCTGCAGCTGCTAACGCACCGATGCCTCCTTGAGCAGCATTTGCTTTGGAACCTTTTGGTTCCGTATTTTTTGCAGCAGCTGCTGCAGCAGCTCCAATGCCTTCATCGGCTTTCTTTTGCTCGGTCTCCGGCTTGGAGATTAAATTGTTTCCATTGCGTTCCCTCGCAGCTGCAGCCGCTGCAGCTCCGATTCCTTCCACCGGTTTCTTTTCCTCCTTTTTCTTAGTCAGTTCTCCCCCATTGTGCTCCCCAGCAACCGCAGTCGCCATAGCACCAATCCCGCTTTCCTTTGAGTTAGCTTCAAAATCATTCATTTTTGAGCTCCGGGCTGCCGCAGCTCCAATGCCTGCATCGACTGTCTGCCCATCTTGCTCCGATTTTGGGGATGCCTTTCCTTCATTTCGCTCCTCGGCGACTGCAGCCGCGATGACCGCAATGCCCCCTCCCTTCGAAATAGCTTTGAAATTCTTCATCTTCGATCTTCGTGCTGCGACAGCCGCTGCAGCTCCGATTCCTCCCACCGGTTTATTTTCCTCCTGTTTCTTCGTCGACATCTGACTTCCTCCATTGCGTGCCTGTGCAGCTGCAGCTGCTAACGCACCGATGCCTCCTTGAGTAGCATTTGCTTTGGAACCTTTTGGTTCCGTATTTTTTGCAGCAGCTGCTGCAGCAGCTCCAATGCCTTCATCGGCTTTCTTTTGCTCGGTCTCCGGCTTGGAGATTAAATTGTTTCCATTGCGTTCCCTTGCAGCTGCAGCCGCGATTGCACCAATCTCTCCTTTCTTTTCAACACGTCGCACTTTGATTTGCTGCTCCTCTTTCGCTGTTTGCTTTGAATCTTTGATGTGATCGACTAGCAAAATGTTATTTACGAAACCGAATACGTCAATACTTCTGCCAGACGATTTTCCTTCCAAACCACCCACAGTAGAGTTACCGACTCCAAAGGATGAAGAAAATTCTGAATGCAAAAGGTAGCCGTCTGTTCCCATTATTTCAAATATTTGTGCAAGCTGAAATTGCAATTCTAGAAAAACAAAAGTTGGGATATTGGATTCACGAGACGGCCCAATAACGGTTTGTAACTTACCAGCAATCAAAAACCCTGCGATTCGGATATTGATTAAAACATGTCGATATCCAGTTGGCATCGGAGACAAGGACGGGTCACTTCCATCGATCGTACGGAAGTAGTTTTTCAGTCGAACAATTTCGAATTGAGGCATCTCTTTCGACTCTGATGTGTTGTTGCATCGTCGATGGAGGCAAAGTAGACCGCAAATCAAAGATGTTTCATCAGGGAAAGTAACTTGTGCACGCAAGATGTCTTTGACCTGGGAAATATCCCCTCCATACTTGCGATCAGCCTTCTTGCGGATTGCGGTATAACGCTTCAAACCAATGCTGTGTTTGATTCGAGACCTGCTCGTTTCAAGAGACGCGAAGGCAACAATGTCTCCCAAAAGTTTCGCCAAGCTCTGTAGGTGCGACTCCGCAAGTTTGAGAAGACTGTTAATATCCGTTGGTGCAGCATCATTTTGAGCAAGTGCATGTCGTATGACATATTCTTCATTCTGATCTTCAAAACCCAGCTGATGTGCACCAATATCACAAAGATACTCTGACAAAATCAGCGTCGATGCCTCTCCAAATTGAGGATCTGGTGGCTTTAACTTATTACGCCCCGAACTAGAAAAGTTAACCTGTTTGTTTCGAAATTGGAACCGAATAGTCGAAGAGGAGCTGGTGCTACCTCCACACTCTTCAAACATACTATCTCTCTCGAGCCAATCATCGTCGAGTGACAGCGATCGTCTTGTCATAGATTTCCATATTTGAGAGTGCTTCCAATTTGCGATCAATACCCCCCAGAAAAGTGGAGAGCGGCTTTCTTCTTCTTTCCTTGGTGCACGTGGAATCTTATTCAAAAATTCAATGGAATCTATTGATGAAAATGACACAAGAGCAAGACCAAGGCTTTCGGGATCGTTCATCTGGTCAAAACCCTTAACCCCAGTTACACTAGATGGCCCTCCGACAACACTAGAGTCGGCTGAGTCAAGCTCTAATTCGAGCCGACAACTCAAAGTATCGAATTCATCACTTTGCAACTTGACAAGGTTTCGACTAAGTCTCTTGGAACGCCGGCTTTTCGGCGACATCATGGGTGACAAGACTTCACTATCAACACTTCCGTGGTTGCTTGCATTGTCGAGTGCTTTCGTTTTTGTGCCTGCTCTCGGTTTTTGCATAGGGAGCGATACTTCCCCGTCGACACGAGAAGACGAACCCACCATCGAGTTGTCCACCGACAGTTCGAGCTGATGCTGCTCAACTCGAACTTCTCTCTTTGTTGGCATTAGGTCCCACGAGAAAGCGATATCATTTTCTGATTCTGCTTTATCAAGGTCTCTGGCGCTGTCTTCTATTGGCACTGATTCAACTGAAGATAGCGTTGTCGGTGATCTGTCGCTGATTTCGTATTTGAAGATACTGTCAGGCAGTACTGTCTTGGCCCTATTCAATGATATCCGTTCTTGCTTTTCATTGATGGAAACGTTGATAGTAAGTTTCGAAACAACTGCATTTAGCATCCGCTTTGAGTTGTTTAGCAAATCAACAGAGAACTCTGTTGAAGATTGTTCACTTTGCAATCCAATATCTGCATCAATACCCCCACGACTCTTAGACGACTTTTCATTTTTTACAGAAGTCAGATCTGTTGTCTTTCCAAAGGACTCGTTCGTTGTCGGAAGAAGCCAAGCATGGCCATTGCGGAGAACTTCACCAGCAAGATCACTTGCGACTTTGGATAGACGTTGTGCATCTTGCAAAATATGGCTTTCATCAGTAAGCGGTCCCGGTGTTCGCTTTTCCCTCAAGCTATTAATCGCGTGTCTACTTTCAGCGGATATCCTTCTAAAGATACTGACAGCTTCCTTCAGGGACGAGGAGGCGTTGTTTTCGACTTGGTCACCTACATTTTCTCCGTCGACATTTGATTGGCTTGGATTTGAAAGATCTTCGTCGCCATTGACATCTGTTTCGGTTTTAGCGTTTGAAGTCTGGGGGTGACTACTCCCGTGATCTTCCTCTTGGTGGCGTGATGTCTTGCCATCTGTTGGGCCGCCTTCTTTTTGCATTGTTTCACTTGAATAAGAAACATTTGTCGATAATATTTCGCCGTGCTCCAAATCTGAAAATGCATCGTGTGTTCTCTCGTTCTCTTGCGCACCGTTGCCACTTTCTTCCTCAGAACGACTTTCAATCTTCAGAATCACAGGGTTGTACGAAGTGTGCAGGTCTCTTGCAACTCGAGAGTTTCCTATCGTCAGAGGTTCTCCAGCATCACTGTGCTTATTTGCCTGGCTTCTTGTTTTCATCCCTCTGGTGACTATCTTGCTTGTGTCGGTTTCTACATCTTCGACTTGAGCTGCCACGTTTGACCGTTTGCTAGTATCTTGCTGCTTTGACTCAGATAAGATTTCTTCTCGATGTGGGTTTCCGATGAAACCCGATTGTAAAGCGTTACTATCCAATAATCTGGATCCTGCGGCGCCGATCTGTGCCCAGAATAGCCATTTGCGTTCTGCCGACTCATGTGCCATGTTTTTCTGAAGATGAACCTCGTTAGGAACCGTTGAATCGTGAATGCCCGTCGAACATTCGGGGGTTTTGTCCTTGTTTTCAATATGTTGCCGTCCCATTGTAGACCAATACAACCATCCAGGATTGTCAGCGCGCAAGGCCATTTCATTTGGGGCATCTCCTGTTGCTTTTCCTTCGGTCACAGAACCAGGGTTGTGCTGTGGTAACTTGGAATCTGGAGCTTTCGGTTGGTCTATTTGGGCCCAATGGAGCCAGCCAGGTTTGCTTGTTTGTTCCCCAACCACGTCGGTCCTTGGTCTATGTATCTGAACCTCTTGAGGAGCGTTCCCGACTAAGAAGTCCCAAGACAAGCTTCTACTTTCAACAACCTTTTTAGCTTGGTGTTTCTCGAGCTTAGACCAGTACAGCCATCCGGGAGTACTGATAATTGGCCCTGTCGAACCAAACGGTTGAGACTTCAATGATTGCGGTCCAGATACCTGAACAGATTCTCTCTCCGATGGTTCGGGATCTGAGGTTTGAGGTTGATCAAGGTGTGCCCATTGTAGCCATTCAGGCTTGTCTTCATTCCCAGCCGTCACTGTGGCTCGATTCTTGTCAAGTTGATCATCGTCTGGGGCCGTTGTCCGGTCAACTTCCCATGATGGCCTGCTATCCTTTACAGCTTTATGGGTCTTCTCTTCTCTCGCTGTAGACCAGTATATCCATGCAGGGTCGACACTTGGTGGAGATGGCACTTCTTGCACCTCAGATCTGCTGATGGAATAATGAAACGGTGACTTTGCTTCTGAGGCTTTGACGTCATCAAGTTGAGCCCAATGAAGCCATGCAGGTTTGTCTGCATGTTCGGCATCCTCAGCCCTCTTTGTCTCAAGTTGAAGTTCATGTGGAGCCATTGTGCTTTCGGAATCCCACAATGACTTGTTTTCTTCAACTATATTTTGACTAGATCCCTCACCCAGCATAGACCAAAACATCCATCCAGCTTTGGTATCGAAAGGAGCACTGTTCGCTGTTAGAGAGAGACTTTCTCCGACTCGAGTCTGATCTTCTTCGTTCTGCATTATTCGAACCGAATCCTCGTTGGACTGATCCCTCTCGTTTAGTGCTTCGCTAACAGAGAAGAGAAGACTTTCTTCATGTGAAGCATCTTCTTCACCTGCCCGCAATACTGCGACAGAATCCTCGCACCACAGAGCGCCCTCGATCTGTGGGCCACTGATGGGCAATGGAAGAAGCTCTTCTAGGGGAGCGCCTTCTCCCCCCTTCTGGGCTACTGAGACCGAATCATCGTTCGACTGCTCCCCTTTGATTAATGGTTTCCTCGTCGTATGTCTCAGAGGTCCTGTTCCATTCAGATTGGAGAGTCCATGCATACTTTCCCCAGGCTTTTCTAATAAAGCCCAGTAACGCCATCCCGATTCTGAATTCGTCACCGTCTCCCTCTTTGGACTTGAAGCCAATATTTCTGGCCACTTCAAATCATTTATGCTTTCCGCGTCACGTATTGGCATGCTGGTGTGAACATCATGTTCAGGTTGCCCCACTTCTGCTGGCAAACCAATATGAGACCAGTAGAGCCATGCAGGACCATCGAAAGGAGACGAAGTTTTAGTGATCGTCTCAATTCCAATTCTCAGTATCGGTGTTGGATCCTGGGGTAGGAGGTTTGTTTCCTCCAATTCAATTTGATGGTCGTCCCCTGTATCGTCACCTACATGTGCCCAATAACGCCACCCATCGTAAGCATGCGACACCTCTTCATTTGTGCTCCAGCCAAATCTTTCCTCTATTCCTTTGTCTGGGATTGCTTCTGGATCTGCAACCGACAGGATCGAAGTTAGTCTTTCAGTTGATATTTGACTCGATTCTGATCCTTTTCGTCCCACGGACCAATACAACCAAGAATTTTCTGTGTCTGATGATGTTGCCGTCATGAACTTTTCGGTTTCATTTGCTCTTAAATTTTCGCAAGCATGGTTGTTTGCGTCGTATGCGGATTCCGATCGATGTCCTATCGGAATTTTGTTGCCATCACCAACATGGTGATTGATAATTTTGTGATCACCATTGTCACTGGTTTCAAATAAAGAAGGCAAATTAGATTTCTCTCCGTGGTCGCTTTTCTCATCAATTGACGTAGAATTGCTTCTGTTGAGGTTTTGTGTCGATTTCAAAATTGAACCGAGATCTTCCATTTCGTCAGCAGTCAACTTTTCGCCTGATTGGTACCGTTCAAAAAGGTCCAGCTCAGAAAGCCTATCCTCGTCAACCACTTCGCCGTTTTCGACTCGTGCAAGCAAGTCTCGTAATTCTTGCTCAACTCCAGATTTTCTCATTGGCGAGGAAACGTCTTGATAATAATTCTTTTTCGATGGGCTTTTCGCTTCACTATGCGACACATCACTATCGTTGGATGGTACTTCTCTAACGATGTGGGAAAAGTCTTCATCATCTCTTTTGGTTTTAAAACTCATTTCGAAGACAGCGTTTTCATCAGTTGATTTTGTCTCAGTTGTGGTCAAAATCTTCAACTTCGCAGGTTCGACAAGTTTTTCTTCCTGAATTATACTAGCAGGTTCTTCTGGTACTTTTTCAAGAGACTTCAACGCTTCAAGCTCTTTCTCAAGCGAATCTGAAGATTCTTCAAGTTCCCGTTCAATCTCTGCATTGACACCGTCGAAATCCATAGCCGCCATAGAATCTTCATTATCGAGCGAAAAGAAAACCCCTTCCTTTGCTGCCGACTCTACCAACTGCTGGAATTCATCAAAAATATCTAGGTCTTTGATATCATCGGCAGACGGCGATTCTCCCCTATTGCTTTCTTCCACTACCTGGTTGGCGTGGCTATAAATTTGTCCTCCGGGCTCACTAGATGATTTCTTTTCATCAGTGAGATCTTCAGCTGCAGAATCTTCAGCATGCTTCAACCTATCCTCCTTCACCGTATCACTCAGTGCTATTGGTGCGGTCTCCCCAGATGCTTCTGATGTTGTTCCAATAAGCATCTTTGCAATAGTACCTTCATTAGCAGAATCCTCAGCATGATTCGAGTTGATATCCCTAACTGCACCATTGATAGAAGTAAACGCCGTCTCATCTAATTTTTTCGACGCAAAATCCTTGGCAGGCTTCAACTCGTCATCCCTAGCTAAAGTGAATTCAATCTCTTCTGATTCTTCGAACTCTGTACCAACACTTTTCTCTCTGGTTCTGTCTTCAACAGGAAAATCCTCAATAGCTGCATTGAATTCAATTTCTTCTGATACTTTTGACTTTGTACCAACATTTTTCTCTGTGGTTATATCTTCTCCAGGAAAATCATTAGTACAATCCAAATCGCCATTCCTATTTGCACCATTCACTGTAGCGAACTCAATCTCTTCTTTTTCTTCCAACCTTGCACCATCATGCATCTCTGGGCTAGTGTTTTCGATAGCAGGATTCTCAGCACGCTTGCACTCGTCATCCTTAACCGCATCAGCGAGTGCGACAAACGTGATATCCTCCGAGTCTTTTGAGGGTTTACCCGCAAGTATCGCTGAATTTTGACTCGTCGCCGTGACAGCTCCACTATCTATGGAACGTCTAAATTCATTCCTTTCATCCGATTTTTCGTGTGACTTTGAAATCGCTTTCCCCCCATTCCGATGGTCGATAGTGCTCGAAACTTTTGATTCCTGTACAGCTGAGATCACTTCATCGTTTGATATCGCCTCTGGAAGAGCGCGTTTTACGTCTCCTTGTAACGCTGCCTTGCTGTGCAGTTTGGCCAACTCGGGGAAATGTACAATTTGAACAGACCGTCTGGATTTACTCTTGGGCTCCCTTTCTTGTTGCTGTGTAGGCACAGACTCCTCGCTGGTGACGGTGGAAGGCGTTGGCTTCAAACTTGGTGCCAGTGGTACACGATTCTTAACCTTCAGATCGAGTCTTACTCGTCCCATGCTATCGCTTTGGCCAGTGTTTGGTGTGGTTGGTGAAAGATCCGGATCATGACCAGCGAACGGAGAGTACCAAGATCTACCCGAAAGAGATCGACCTGGACTGTAGGGAAACATGATTACAGACTCGGCTCCGTCTTCTGCTTCGAAGTATTTTGGTTTGGTAAACTCATCATGGACATCAGTAGCAAACTCCTTGGCTGACTCAACCACAATGGAACTAGCATCGGCCAGCATTGGGGCTGTCACATGTGCCATATTTGTAGCTGTTGAGGCCGCCGTTTTTGCAAGCCGCTGCAATGACATTCTCCATTCGTTGTTGCTGACATCCTTTGAGTGTTGTCGGAATGGATTTGAATGCATACGTCTCGTTTGTTTTGCCTTTCGTGCAGCAGCTCCAGCAGCCGCAGCTGACAAAACAGGATCTACGAAGCTAGAAGACGAAGGACCATCGGTAGCAGCTGCAGCGAAAACGCTTCCTTTCAGAGAACCAGATGCCCCCCTTCTTCGTAATGAAACACGTGAATGGTCGTGTTCGTCAGCTTCGTCATCATCAGAATCGATCAGATGTTTTCCAGTGGATTTACGGTGGAGAGGATGCGTGGGATTATTTTGGTACAAATCATCTTCGGTTCCCGATAGGGTGGATGGCTCGTTACCCATATTCACAATATTCGACTGATTACCAACTGTGGTGACCTGACGTTGTTCCCGAAACTTCTGGTTTCTCAATGTCTTATTGTCTGTGTTGTTTCTGTCAATTCTGCCTCCGAATCATTCCAATGTTATACTTTGATTTTCACCTTAACTTGTGTGCATGCAAAGATGAGCAATGAATGAACCTTTGCTGACACAGATGATAGAGTAATGGTCAGTCGTTCAAACAAATGGTTTTGAAATTTGCATTTCAATTCACCAAGTATGCCATATCGTCCGTCGTTCGTTCAAAACTGTCCCTATTAATACCCCTTTTGTAGAAAATATTTACTTCCCCCTTCTGTTTCCTTTTTCGTGACGATCATGCATGTGGTGTGTGGTGTGTGCCTTCGATGTAGTACCGGTATGCGAGCAACTGCAACCTGCAAGTTTTAAAATCGATAGATCAATCGGGTGCTTTTCCTTGCGTTTCTCAGAGTGCTCATCAACAGAGGAGTAGCATAGGAATTTCGAGGATGCCTCCAGCTCCAGGACAGGAAGACGCCATCAAGAGGATGACAAAGATCCTCAATAACCTGTGGAGTCGAACCGACAGCGCTCCGTTCCGCGAACCTGTCGACTGGGTAAGTTGGCTGCCATCTGCTTTTGAAACAGTTCTTTTTACATTGGAATGGCACTGACTAATCATGCCCATCATGCCCCTTGTCCTGTCTCTGCACTATCTTATCCCACGAAATTGCACATTGCATCCGAATCGGTTAGAGAGGACTAGAACTTTTTGACTACCCAAAAGTGATCAAGAAGATGATGGATCTGGGAACCATCAAGCGCAGACTGGAGCGCAACCAGTATGAAACCGCTCATCAAGTCGCCGAGGATATTCGTCTGGTATGGCACAACTGTATGACTTACAATGCTGATGGCTCGGACTTTTGGCTCTTGGCTAAGAGTTATTCGCGTCGATTCGAAGATAGATACAGAAAGGTGAAGAATGAATTCGACGTGGGGGAAGATCTGCACGATGAAGAGGATGAGAGCGATGAATCATCAGATGAAGGAGAATCGTCAAAACGAAAAAGTTCCTCTAGCAAAAAATCGAAGGAGCCAACGGATGAAAATGAATCAACGCGTTCGGGAAAAAGAGACACCTCCCTGGACTCCAGAGCTCGATTTGGTTCGAACATTTTCTTGTTGAATGGAATAGAACTAGGGCATGTTGTGACAACTCTTGAGCTCGAATGTCCAAATGCATTGATAGAAGACGGATCGACACAGATGGAAATAAACCTTGATGCAATCCCTCAAGAAGTCTTTGAACGGCTAAGTGGATTCATTGAGTCCAAAATTGGAAAGCGAAGCCTCTTGGATATCAATCACGAGGACGACGAGTCTGAAGAGAGGATCCCAAAAAAGAAGAAGAAGAAGAGCTAAGACGTAGCCTATGAAATACTAGCAAAAAGATGTGCGGAAATTGCATTGTTTATGCTTCACATCTATATTTCCTGGCAGTCCCATATTAGTTTTTTTCGGATGGAGCCTTGACTTGACTGCCAATGTAGAGCTTCTTCGACGTTTTTCAGAGGAAATACCTTTACCGGAGGACACTCAATGGACTTGTCCAACACAGCCTTCGACAAAATATTCACCATTTCCTGCTTTTGCTCGTGACTTTGTTGAATCATCCATCGACTGTGCCAATATCCAACGGCACGTATGTCTTTGAAAATAAGCTGCGGTGTTCCTAGTACAACTGGCTGAGCTGACATACCGCCATAGGTGACGAGAGTACCGCCATTCTCAAGAGAACGGATTAACGCTTTGACACTCGCGCCGCCTACTGCATTCAGGGCCAACTTGGGCAATTCGTTAGATACTGAAATTTGCTTCAATTCAGCTTGGAATCTTCGCAACGACTCCTTGTCGTCCAAATCTTCTTCGGCGATTACAAGGCTATTCTTTCCTTTACTCAAGAGGTACTCGACTAGTTCGTCGTACTCATCTTGCGACCTGGAACCGCGTCGAACCACGCTTGCCATTGAGATTCCCTTGGAAGCTGCTATCTGACTCGCCATGAGGCCCACAGCCGAGTTTCCGGCATTTTGGACTACCTGTACCATATGCGGATTAGCTCCCAGCCAAAGATAATAGAGAAGATTCCAAACCTTTCAGTTACTTACAACATCTCCTGGTTGAAGGGGCGCAAAATCGCTCAGCATTCTAAATGCAGTTCCTCCCAACTGAATCAAGCTACATCCTGCAGGCCCAGAAATTCCCAAAATTTCCTCAGAAAGAACTAGTAAAGAAGACTCTGGAATCCAAAGTGACGATCTGAGAGTACCGAGTCCAGGGGTACCAATTGCAACAAGCGAACCTTTCCGAAGATTTTTGGAGTCTGAAGTTATGCGGCCCCAACCTTCAGATCCCGCGACCCACCGATCACTGAAGTAGAGACTTTCAGCACTCAGGTTGTCTTTGATACCTAGTGACTTTGCAGGTGACGGATATGTGCCTTGCACAGTATTAATATCAGCAGGGTTCCATGGAGAGTGTATCATCTTGACATGGACCAAGTTCTCGTCAGTGGGATCATGATTGACATCATCTGAAGTCGTCTGAAAGGAAAGGACATCTGTTGGTTCACCATGTGATGCATATGATAGTTCATGGTACCAGCGCCGTTCTTTACAAAGTGCAGGCCGCATAAAGCGCAGCTGTTGGATTGCT